AATGAAGTCATCCATGCTTTCTTGTTTACATACCAGTCGACCATGTTTTATATACCTGTTCGTATTTTAAACTGGCTTCATGCACATTTATCTGGCTTCAATCTGTAAACTACATTTGTATAGCTTTGTACATACAGGTTTGAATAGCTTTTCCTGTTAATTGTTAAAGTTAATCTCTGCAGCCAGTGCTTGTCAAAACACGGGGTTGTGTACTCGCGGGCAGATGACCACGGAGTACGCTGACCACTGTGTCGGATTAACGAGACTGATTAATGAGTGATTTCGGTAATTCGTTTCAAATTAGGTGTGTCGGAGTCGGAGTGCGAGAATGTCGGATTAACGGGACTAAATAGCACTGAATCAATCGGTTCCCATCATTTGTGTCGGATAAAGCCGAGTGTCGGATTAACGAGTGTCGGATTAACGAGACTTGACTGTATATTGGTTTAGTGACTGGGATTTCTTCAAAAAAATTCCAAATTCAAAATCACATATGTTTTAGTCACATTCATAGTGGCTTGTTCAAGGAAGTAGTCACATTTGTAATGGTTTGTTCAAGGAAGTAGTCACATTTTTAGTGGCTTGTTCAAGGAAGTAGTCACATTTGTAATGGCTTGTTCAAGGAAGAAGTCACATTTTTAATGGTTTGTTCAAGGAAGTAGTCACATTTTTAGTGGCTTGTTCAAGGAGAAAGTCACATGTGACTAAAAGTGACTATCTTAGTAAATATCTAATGTGCAATTTGGAGCTTTCTGAAATATAACTGACATGACTGGCGCATTGCAAATGTAAACAATTCTACAAGTAAACCCATGTTTATGTATTGCTGTTGCAACATAGACCAAATGTCTTCTTTATAGTCTCGGTTGTTTCAGTGATGTTGAAATTGTGGTAGCATTGATTGAGGGCATGCTTGAAGGTCAGGGGTCAACTGCCAGAAAAACAATATATGACCCATACAAGCATGGATATATGTGTACAATACAAATAAACATTATTTAAGGGATTTAATCAGATAGGTATTTGCCCATGGTAGGTTATTAGCGCATATTATCAGTATGGTTACAATCTCCAACCACACAGCTTCAGAGGGGCGTCAGGTGGAAGAAATCTGCCTTTAGTAAAGTGCTGATACGTTACATGTAACACATAGATTCCCAATTTGAAGTTTTGACCCTAAGAGTTCAAAATTGCTTAAGGATTTTGTATATGTTAGATTATATTATCAACTCACAATGTGATCATAGGATGGTTTCTGTATTGGAGTTGAGATCTTAAAAATCCAAACGGGGGACAGAGTTGCTTCACTTCTTTAATATCCATTTCATAAGATACAACAAGGGTTTATTTATGAAACAGAAAATTTGCTATTTTTTTGTTTTAGTTTCGAGTGGTAAGGTGATTTAGGATCAGCGGGAAATGAGAAACCCAAATAGAAATATAAACAGCCTGTCTTTTCTTTCAACATTACATTATTCACACAAGTGGTTTTGTAAAGTGAGATTTTTAAAAATATTCTTTTTTTAAGATGTTGATTTTGATTGTTTAGGAGCACATACCGGGGTATATATAGTATATATATATATATATATATATATATATATATATATATTATGTTGAATGTTCTGGTGAGACGATGTTCATATATAAATGTTTCCTTGTTATGTTTTAAAGAAATTCCTAATGATCTTTTAATAAACTTTGTCTCAAAAATGTAAATATGACTCTTTGAGTTGACACCAAAATATCACATTAGATTCTTTTTTTGTCATTTGTGCTTTATAACAACATTAAATAACCATGATAACATTAAATCCTGCAGGCCAATGAACTCACATGATAAACTTTCAAACAGAAAAAAACTAATAACAAAGTACTTTCTCCGATTTGCCCTTACTTTATATGCCTTAAATATTGCAATACTTTGCAAACTTATTTTGCCAAGCTAATCCCAATGTAAGATCCAAATCATCCCAATCTGATGCGTGTACCTCAAACATTAAGACCACGGTCACAGTAAATCCCTCTAAACCCTACACTTATCTGCCACTGATAAATCATAAAACTCCACTCCATACCTTCTGAACCTGGAGCGTTTGTACTATTTGAACTAAGAGCCATTCCTTTTTCATATTTATTTGACAATCGAGAGAAGCTGCCTAGTAAGCCATCGCACTATGCTAGTCTTCATGCTCCTGATAGGAATAAAGTCGTCTGCCCTTTTATGTTCAACAAGATAAAAATTGTTTGCGATTGTCGATGGTGGGTTGTGACATCGTCAATCTGGAGATATGACATGCTTGTTTGATGTCCTACAGGGAGGCTCTGGTCGGCATGTTCAGCGAAATCCTCAAGTGGAGGCCTATATTCCTGTTTGATTCTGTAATTAACTGAAGATCTTGTGTGATTATTTCATTGATTTATTCATGTCGAGACAATCCTCTTCGCACTGCCTTTTGATGGCAGTATTAGCAACGGCACTGCATAAAGATCAGAAAGCGTCATGGCCGCCACACGAGCAGAAGACATCTTTGATTATGTCTCATTTCCTTGACAAGGTTTTTATCTTGTGACACCCAACTCACTCGAGTCTTTCATGCCATTGACTAACCGCTTTAAGTTTACTTGTGGGAATCACAGAGGGATTTATTGAAAATTGTCTCCTAGAAACTTAGATTATGGCTGTCTTAGAGAGCCACTTTCTGTTGCTTTTCATTTTCCCGCCTACTGAATCTTAGTTCAGTTTTTGACAGATGGCAATTTGCCGAGATTCCAGCAATATGAGATTATCAATTTGTAATTATGGGGCAGCAAGCCTTGTCCATCAGTTGGATGTCTTTTGCCAATGGTTATTCTAACAGGATGAAACATTTCCATACTATTTCCCGGCTGCTAATGCAATGGCGTATTTTTCTTATGGGTAGATAGATTGCTGTTGAATCATTTTGTGGGATGAAAGTAGTTTTGATTGTTATCGTAATGAACAGTGCATATTTATTCAACTTCTTCAAGAACTAAAACAAATTGGCTACTGATAAAATTGATCGAATACTCGCTGAGCAAACGTTTTTTTCATTACACAGATCACAGACATATTCAGTTGGGAAAATGGATTTGAGGATGGCAAAATTAAAAATAAGTTGGCTTCAAGACGGTACTTAACATAGTAACATGGTTAGATGAGAAAACACATAAATGTTTTGATTAGTTATGTGGACAAATAATAAATAATACAAACATAGACAAAGTGATTTGGGGGGGGTAATTTCCAGGTTGTTCAAAAATCATACGGATGGCTGGAGTTGCAAATGACAAGGCTCTTAGATCATGTAGGTTGAGAGTGAATATTTTCATTACCATGATTACCTAATTTGTTGTCGATTAAGAGCAGGCTGTTTCGTGATCCAATTTGTAAAGAATGGTTGGTTTATTCAAGATTCAAATATCTGTTGTGTGTGAAAAAAGTGTCATTGACATTTTGTGCCATGTTTACCTTGTTTTCTCATCATTCTAGCACTGGACTTGTTGGAAAGAATTTAAAGGAGACAAACATTCACTACATGATATGCATGATGGAGGCTTATTTTCTTTTAGAGAGATTATCTGTAGAATATTGTTCAGTTTTATAAATATCACTTATTTAGAAAAATAATTGATTTATGTGTGCCTTTGGCAAGCATAATACATAGTATTTATTCCTGATATTTGATATTTATGAAACTGAAACTCACACAAGTAATAGCCTCTTTACATATAATGTCATACTTAAAGTATAGATATAATAAATGTTTAAGACTTATTTTCATGTACTTGCTAATGTAACTTTCGAATAGAAACTGCGTAAGAATCATCATAACAATGTCTGAGTCAACCACCGCATATATATTTCTATATATACTAGTATATATCGTTGGACCATAGGTTTTTGAACATCACACGTTTTCGGACGGCCATGTTTATCACAATTACTAGCGCTGTAGCAAGGGATGTGGTGTCACACAGACATTGTAAATACTCCGATGATGACCTGTTTTTAGGATAGTCATCTTTTATAAATGAGTGAGATGTTTTGTGGTTGTTCTTGTGATTAGCGAGTAAACTACGAAAGTTTCTTAAGCATCCAAAAACCCATAACACGGGGATATATAAATCTATTACGTACACACCAAGCAGTTATGCACATTGTATATAGTGCAACGGTTTTTGTTTGTGTGCATGACCAATCACACATTGGGAAACTTTCTTCCGTGCAATAGTGTTTCTTGCAAGTAGACATGGCATCGATATATGGATGGGTAGGTGCTTGTATGATACCTGCATCTAACTATTGTGTTAAGTGTTTGGTACAGAGCTCCAGATAAGCTTTTGGTGTTGTGGGTATTTTACCCATGCATTTTAAAATCATTGGGTATCAGTAATTCACCTGGGTATTCAAATTTCTGTTACCCACTAGTTTTTACCCATGTGGGTATTTAAGTTAAATATTTAAAAACCCTATTCATCATTCCACAAGAAAGTGTGATGGCTAATGATCATGATCTAACTGTCATCGTGGAGTTTGGCAAGGTTGACGGAATGCCCGTTTATAATTTCAAAATAAGCTGATTTGCTAATCGAATACGCAGGGTAAAATTACTTCACAATATTTTGATGATACGCACAAGTTTTATTTTTGTAGCGTATCTGTAATGTTCGTTGCGTATTTGATACGCTTGGATTTTATTTTACTGCGTATTTCTGCATTTCTGATGCGTATTTTACGCAGATACGCAACTTATCTGGAGCTCTGTTGGTATATATACTACTCAAAAGAAGTCATATGAAACAATCAGGTGTTCTTTAATTTCTTTTGAGTAGCAGAGATAACTTTGAGTACATCATCAGATATGCCAGTGTTCTGACATGTTGATTGTTAAAATGAAAACTAATATCGTAACAGTTCTGAATAATTACTTGAATGATGTAAAATGTAAAATGTAAAATGTGTGTGTTTATTTCAGAGCAGCGGAAGCGAAGTGTGTTGGATGGCCAGACACCATGTTGCCCTGTCTGTGGCATAACCCTCCGAGCTGGGGAGGTCGAGTCCCACCTTAGTCTGGAGCTGGACAAGCTGGAGAAACTCAGCAGGTAGGAGATTTGTGTATTATGTAATTTTATTGAGAACATGGGTGGCCAAATCGCCTGAAGCCAAGGGAAAGTGTTGTGTTTCTGGTTTGGGGGTTTGGCCTAAAATGACCCATCAACTAAACTTTTGCATGATTCATCAACACCAGGACCTGAACAGTACAACTGAAACGTATTTGTGTCCAGTATTAAAATGCCTGGTTCACAGAGATTCATGAAAGTTCAGAAGAGTAGCACTTGACAAGCCAAAAAGACCTTATAATTCTACCACCCCCCACCCCCCCAAACACACACACTCACACACTCACACACATCACACACACATCACACTCACACCACACACACATCACACTAACATCACACACACACCATGCTCACACACCACACTCACACCACGCTCACAGCACACACACCACGCTCACACACAATCTACACCAATATGAGAGGCATCAAGTGCAGTTTGTATGTTCAGTTTTGACATAAGGCATCACAGTTGGTTTTGCAGAGTTCCGTCCCTTAGGAGTGCCAGAATCCTTTGATCTTGGGTTCAGATTCTCCCTGATTATGTTTTTAGGTTTGTCAGCACCTTACCTGTGCTGGTGCGTTTCACCAAAGTGGTAGACACATCTTGAAACTGCATCACTTGAGGCTTTCCTCTCACATCAAGCTGATGCACAGTGATATAACTGAAATGCTGTGTGGTGTGTTAAATTTAGCTCACACTCTCACAAACAACCCCAACCCACACCAACCCACCCCTAACCCTATGCTCTCACCCACAAAGAAACTTTTTGCCTTTTTGTGTGACATGCTGTAAAAGTATTTTGTGAGTTTACTTGTAAATCCTAATGGTAAATATTTAATGTGTCGCCAGCAAACATGTCAGTTTCTTTACTAACAATAAACATGTTATTTCTCATTAAAGTACTCTCTCACCGAGAGAGTATTCGTAAATTTTCTAAAGCGTGACAGTTATTTTATGACCAGACTGTGTCCACCATAAAGCACTACCATTGCTAAAACTGGACGTTACCTCACATTTGAAATACTTCCCATTACAATAAACGTCCAGGGGCTTGAATGCAGTTAATAACTCGACTAGAACCCAGAATGTAATCCCACCCGATCATGAATAACAAACAGTAAATGTATCAGAAGTAGACGCCATAACTCGAGTTAAAGTTCGCAGCCATCTGTAATACTCTATATCGGACCATTACTGTTTGCCAATATAGTTTTCATTGCCTAAGGAACACGATAGCAACATACAAAAATATCAGTACAGAGTTGTAAGACGGCTAGATTTTGTTTAATGGATCAAATCGTCTCCTCCATCCCCTTGCCGTGAATTTTATGTCAACTTGGTTCTCGGAAATTTGTGTACACTAAATTTTACGATCAACTCAATTATGTTCGTATTAGCCTTTCCCCCAGATGTGTAAGTTTTATGAAATGTAACAGCCTCCAATATATGTCGTCTATATTTCTTGCCCCATGGCAGTTAGTGTTCGCAGAACAATTGAAGAGTCAATCAGAGGATTTACCTTTCTGATTTCCTACAATGATAGCGTATAATTTTATCAAATTGCAACAAATAAAAGCAGATTTATGGCTGTCAACGGGTCAGTCTGTTTGCAAAGGCGCCTCTGGAAAATATGATTAAGTCATGAACAGGGATCCAATAGCTGACTAATACTGATTTAACGGTTTGACAAAGGGCGGGCATTGTGACGCGTGGCTTGATCGGGATTCTGTTCGGGAGGTTCGGTGATAAACAAGGGAGAGGCAGAGTAGTGGGCTTTATTATTAAATTTCCTTCACATTGTTATCACTGTTCGGCCATCTGCTCTCGCTTCAAATGCTCGGCAAATATTTCTCAGTGAGAGAAGTGTCTGCGAGTTCTTACATTCATCATAATTGCAATCTTGAATATGGCAAAGCTAATTTGATATAACAGCTCTTGTCATTGGCACCCAGTATTGTCGCTTAACAGCCCCTGTAGCTTGGTAACGGATGCTCAGTTAAGTCCGTCCGGCAGTTGTGCTCACGCGTTAAGGGTTTGATTAATATAAGATATTTTTATCCACATGTAATGTAGAAAAGTTATCTTTCATCATTTGTTGTCAGCACGGATGGAATTTATGTCAGTTTCAAGATGCTGAGTGCTGTAATTTAGAAAAGTTCTATCTTGAGATGAGTGGGGATTCAATCGAATGAGAAAATGTTGAATCTGATAAGATGAACAAGTTCTTATTTCTTTAAGGCTGAATCATCAACTCATCATGCTCAAGTTGAACTTTAACTAGAAAATAAACTAGTAACCTTAACTAGAAAATGTTAAACCAGCAATAGAAATTGGCACTAGTCCTGTAGTCCTTGCCAGACTGCCCAATAGTGAAGGTATGATAGTTCTAGTAGAAATTTGCCCTTTTTTTGCTATGTGTTACCATTATAAGGGCTTGTGGACTAAAAATGTTAGTTTCTATCATTGAAAACAGTAAATACATTGGAAATTCTCTCCGTTTTGTTTCTTTTTTCTTAACTTATTCACATAAATAATAGCCATCACGGGTTATGGTTGTATAATGACTATATACATACTATCTATTCGCTATTTTTTTTTCAATTTGCTTGCCAAGGGCACTTGGTTTAGATTAATCCCTGCACGTCTGTTAACATATTTCACTAAAAGAAAAACTAATAGTGTTAAGGGAAATAGTATTACAAGGTGAATATGTGAGTAATAAGTGTTGCCTTTGCTTAATGGTTAAGACAGCAAAAGTTTTAGTCCAAATAGTTTTGTTTTTAATAATTGTAAACTGGTAATGTAGTATATATTTTTAACCAATAAACTTCACTTCGTTTATATATACTCTAAACAAGCATTGTTGTTTTCAATTTTATTGTTATTTATGTTTTGACTACCGACCCAATGGTGTGTTTTTTAAAAGTAAAAATCCATAAAGGGTGGCAGGGTAGCCTCGTGGTTAAAGTGTTTGCTTACCATGTCAAGACCTGGGTTGGATTCTCCCATGTGTGAAGCCCATTTCTGATGTCCCCCCCTCTCATGATACTGCTGGAAATTAAGATGTGGGTGGGTCAAGGTATGTGAGTTTAGAGGTCCATCAGTCTTGTCCACTTCTTTTTCGACCCATGAAGATCCAGGGTAGAATAGGTCTTCAGCAATAGCTTGCCGTAAAAGGTGACTATGCTTGTCGTAAGAGGCGACTAACGGGATCGGGTGGTCAGGCTCGCTGACTTGGTTGAAGCATGTCAACAATCCCAATTGCGTGGATCGATGCTCATGATATGAATCACTGGATTGTCTGGTCCAGACTTGATTAGTTACAGACCGCCGTCATATAGCTGGAATATTGCTGAGTGCAGCGTAAAACAACAAACCAAACCAAACCAAACCTTGATGAGTGTTCCTTTTGTATTTGAATCTAGGGACCCCTAATATCGTTACCTTTAGGCGTTTTATATTTTTCGGGTTACGGACCCGCCGACTCTAATTTTTGAGAAAATGTAAAAAATATATGACAGATTTCCATATATTTTTCCCCCACCGATAGCCACGTAGTCAGTTATTTTATTTGTTATCATCACCTTTTAATAAAAAACATATGAATTTACTGTTGTAAACTAGTAAAGAGATACATAATCGATCTTTGACAATTGACAATTGTCCGTGTTGTAAGTGGTAGAATTTTTATTGTTACAAGGGGCTTTATTGTCACAAAAGGTGGTCTTTTGAGCACAGAATATGTTCATAAAGTATGCCAGAGGCATTCTGCATTAAAAAAAAATGCATCTGGCTTTTTTTTTCTTTTTCTTTTTTCCCCTCCTCCAACCCTGGACTTTGGGCTGAAAAATCCGTAATCCTAAAAATAAAAAAAGCCTGGCCTTACCATTATGAAAAGGGCCCCTTGACTTATATGCTTGATTTAGAACACTGTTATTTATAACTGATAGTCATTTTGTAGGACTGAGATACTCTAAATTCCATCTCTACGGTATACCCGAGATATATCAAACATGAGCGTTATAATTATTCATCTAAACTTAAAATTGTCAGTTTTCTTTTTATGCATGGTGTGTGCAAGGGCTGCAACGAATACACTATGAGGCGAATATGATTCATATCATGAATATAGGGTAATGAATACGGATATTAATTCACGAATGCAATAACAAGTCAGCAGCTGATGTATTATTTGTTATATTCAGTGAAACAATAACAACATAAATTATTTGACATGGTTGTTTAACTATTAATATATTATACATTTATATACTGCGCTTATCCAGGTACTAGTATCTGCTCAAATGCGACAATGACCAGTGACAACAATACTGTCAAATTAAGTATATTATAAGAGTGTTGTCTTTGAAGAAATCTAAGCATATAATATGTTGTTCTTATGGATATTTGTAGGTACAGGGTATTTAAATGCACATGATTGCATATTCATAAATATTCGATTCTAGTGGCCACGAATAACGAATTCAATTCATGAATGGATACGGTTCGATTCAACGAATACGCGAGTGAATTGTGACAGCCCTAGTGTATGCCCATTGTAACTGTTCTCAACCCTTTCAGTTTCATCCATAAGTTTTACATCCTCTGAAACAGTAAGAAATTTCGACAATCGTTTGATTATATATTTCTTAACAATGTTTTGGTTCATATTTCTTTAATTAGCATACAAAAAAAGATCAAGCAATTTCAAAAGTCTGTCTTGAAATTTCTGAAACAGTTCCATCAATCCGCTAACTGATGCGGTAGGAAATGGTGGTCCGGAAACCGAGATTCTCACACCAGCACGTGGACTGAAAACCAGCCAATAAGTGAGAGCATTGTTTGCCTTGATTCGTCAACACGTGAAGTTGAAATTTTGTTAATTCACAACTTTATTAAATCTGGCCCTTTTCTGAAGTCAGGTTCAGTAATCAGATTTATCCTCAGTGTCCACTTTGTGAGATTACACGCACTTTCCACTTTGTGGTCTCTCTGGATCCTACGAGCGCGCTTGACAGACACCGTGTGCAGGCAACTCCGCAAACCTAAGACAGACGCGAAATTGATCTGTGTTCTTAGTGATTATTACATGATTAAAGGTCCGATTAGAAACCTAATCAGTTTGCTAGTGGTGGCCTCATGTTAGCCTGGGCAGTGATTTGGGGACTTGGTTTGTCAGATGAGGCTATAACCCAATTTGAGGCTCACTTGAAAGAACAGGGGTTCATTCATCAGCCAATTAAAGACTGATCTTCACATTGAGGTGCACTGATTGGATTAATCGAAATCGAATTAGATTCTTTAAATTTAGAGAAGTGCAGATAAGAGTGTGATTTACTGTTTGAAGGTCCTGGCCCTTTGAAGCTCGACTGGAGGAGAGTCCCTCTGGGTTAAAGCAGTCATGCTTTGAAGTGTTGGCTGTGAGGTGATAAATGATAAAAATCAAATTTGTGTCTTTTGTGAAAATTTTATGCTATCAAAATATTTTTATCCCTTTGGGAGATAGCTCTTAGGCAAGTATGGCTTAGCCACTGTTGAATGTTTGGAATAGTGATTTTTTTCGGGGTAAATGGAAAAGTTTAATCTGGAGAGAGGTTTGAATTTGATGAATTTCATTTTGATAATGGATTTAAGTTTGAAATAAAATTTTAATTCGTCTTAAAACATGTAAAATTTTCATTAAAATTTTGAAGCTTCAATTTAACATGAAACTTGTGATGAATGTGTGATTTTTTTTAAGGATTCCTTTTTGTAAATATCTCTAAGTCAGTGGACATAGTGAAGGGTTGAAATGTAATTATCAAAGGAATGTCTTGATTGAAGAGGTAGAAGGGTATTTCAGAATCGATTAATTCCGAAAATGAGAATTTATTTCAACAAATAACAAGGGTCATTGACAGTGTTTTCAACAGATTTCCTTAATTTCTTAAAAAAATAATTTTGACTTTCATTGTAAAGTATGGACAAAAAGATGTATATTATTTGTGCAGAAAGATATGTATGTGTATAAATAATAAAATGGTTTGGTATCAGCATCACCAGTTCCTGAGGAATGTTTTGTTAAAGTTTCTGATAAACCTGATCACTTCTGTTCTCTTTCATTTCAGTGCTTACTGTCTGTTGGATTTTGAATATGTGCAAATCTGGGGGGTTTTCCCAATGAAATTAATAATAAATATCATGAATATGTCAGATAAAGGACTTTCCTGCTCCTTTAGTCATTCACAGAGGAAACTTATAAGTATTCTCCAAAAGGTTGATGAATTATGTTACTGATCATGCTGATGATATCATAATTGCAACCATGACCATTTGACATTATATATCAAGCAATCTTTGATCGTAATCACATCTACCTAGTCGTCTTGTACACTCCATTGATGTCATACAAGGACAGATACCAACTCATTTCAGCCCTTTGATAGCTGAATCTGTGATACAGTGGGCCATCCTCAATTGTTATGTGTACTGATTCAACTTGTCAGAGGACAAATCAGACTTGAGAATAAAGAAAGACGAAATCAGTTGGCACTGGACACACTCTTCTGGATAACAGATAAATTGACTTGTGAAAGTACAACCCATCTTCATTTATCCAGGGTACTTTATCTCCTTTCTATGTGATAAGTACCCTGGGACCACTCACTGCCTTCTAGGGAATATACAGACCACTAAACTTTCTGCTTTTAACATTAGGGTTGGGACAGGGACCCCTTCACTTTCATTCTGAGCTTCAAACAGTGGCTCCTGTCCTCTTGGTTCACTCACACGAGGGCAGGAAAAGACTCAAAGACTCCTTGATTGTACCTCTCTCAAGGCAGTAGCAGGGCTTTCATGTTACTTGTAGGAAAATATCTAATTTTCAATATTATTTTTCAGAGGAGGAAGAAAGTCAAGGGACTCCACACCTCAAGGGAGAAAGGTAATATGGAATTCTTTTATGTGAAAATATCAAAATAAGTAGAAACTGGAAGTTAAAATGTGTGAATGCTTATTTACCATTGCAGATCATTGTCAGGTCAGTGAAAATACCTGCTAATGTTTTTGTGGGCAAAAATTTTGTGGTTGGTTGAGAAAGTTTGTGGACTAAGATGGCTGCTCATAACAGATTGTTGAAACTTTGTGGTATCCGTTTCTGTGATTTAACAGATAGTCATCAACTTGAATAAAAAATTTAGTTTGTATGTTATATGCAGGGATCACAAGCCCACTGTTCAGAGCAAGCTTCCCCAATGTTAAAGGTATCCTGAGAACTATTTGTAATTTAGACAGTTTTGGGGTGTTCTTAATGTACTTGTAGATTTTTTAAGTTAATTTCTGTCCCTGATTATTTAATAGTGTAAAACTTTTAAAATGAAATAGAATTTGAATATGTTGGTCTGTCCTGTTGTAAGTTGAGTCAACATGTTTCAACGACATTGGTATACCTGAAATGTGTGGAAAAGATATCCTCCATTTTGTAGCAGCAGTGTATTCAATCGTATCATATCCCCATCATATTGTTGCCCTCTCTTAAAAACAGTTCCCTTATTTCTGTCCAAATCTCATATCTCCATATCCCCACTCCAGCCTCATCCCATCACTAAATCTCATCCTCCATCTTTGTTCCTCCATCTGTGTCATTGCAGGGTGGTCAAAACTTATTCAAGCCTTCATATTCTAACCTCTGTCAAAGTAATTATTTCTCCTGATATTTTCTGTGTGTTTTATATTTATGACAACAATGATTCTATTTTGGTGTTATTGTTATGAACACAATTTGTTTAATTTTTCACACGGGATTGTAAACTGAACTGCTTTCTTTTATCCTGTTTCCATTTTGCTGCATATTGATATGAAAAATAGAAAAATGAGAGTCGATATGTATGTATATTTTAGTTTATCGTAAAGTTATGTCTTTCGAGCCATAATTTATCTTAAAGCTCTGTCTTTTAACCCCTGTAACTTCGAGATAAATTTCCTCATTATTTTGGGGTGCCTGTCACTGTCGGGTATGCTGCAATCAGGCGTGTGTTTTTTTGCATATCTCTTGTGCCCCATGGGGGGGCACGGGTGGCCCAGTCGTCTAAGGCGCCGCGATTCGCTGTGCAGAGTTGCGTCGCTTGGGCACGCCAGAAACCTATGATTGTTGGTTCGAATCCCGGTTTGCCCCGATTATGTTTCTAGGTTTGTCAGCACCATACCCGTGCTCGTGGGTTTCACCGAAGTGGTAAACGTCTGAGACCTGCATCACTTGGGGCTTTCCTCCCACATTAAGCTGACACGCCGTGATATAACTGGAATACTGTTAAAAGCGGCGTTAAACCCAACTCACTCACTCACTCACTCACTCACTTGTGCCCCATGGGATATCGGGTTAGAATAGGCTCCCAGCAACCATCTGGTCATAAGAGACGACCAAATGGATCGGGTGGTCAGGCTCAGTGACTTGATGGATAGTGTGTTCAGGCTCAGTGACTTGATGGAGAGTGTGTTCAGGCTCAGTGACTTGATGGATAGTGTGTTCAGGCTCAGTGACTTGATGGATAGTGTGTCCTTGTTTCCTGACTGGACTGTATTGTTGCTCACAATATCAATCACTGGATTGTCTGGCCCAGCCTCAGCTATTTACAGGTTGCCATCATATGGCTGGAATATTGCCGACTGTGGCGTTAAACAACAAACAGTCTCATCCCTCATCTTACTCCAAACAATATTCATGCCATCCCATCCCTGTATTCTGAAATTTGATAAACGACATGGTGGTCCCCAAAGTTCATTCTCCCAAATCCTCCGTGACAGATTGCTAGAAACTTCTCACTGTTTTCTACCCGACGTACACCTGACATCTCCGAGACAAGTAAATCCAGGTATGGGTATCAGGTGCAAATTTTGTAAGCCTGATATTGATGTAGATGTCCTTTTAAAATTTACTAGTCTAAGTGACTGCTCCGACATTGATATTATGCCCATGGCAGTGAAAATTAATATGTTGGACTTTTTCGATGTATATGTTTCACATACACTCTTGACGCTGACAGAAAGATCCTGTAAGTCTCTGTTGACAGTGGAAATAGATATGTCGCAAAATCCAGACATAGCGTGGCATGGATGGACAAAAGAATAGGATTCGTGTTCTTTGCTGAGGTCTCAACCATGTAGGGATAGACATGATAGATTTCAGTGAAAAGAGCCAACACACAGACAGGACCAGCTGACAGTGAAAATATCGAGTTCACTATCTTGCCTCTGATATGGACAAATGAAAAACATTATCTATCTGCCTTGCTGGTTCATGCTATTTAAAGCAGAGTTAAACCCAATTCACTCACTCAGTTATTGTTCATAAGCTGCATGGGTGGCTCAGTCGTCTGAAGCACTGGCTTGGCTGGGAAGAGTTGCATCCCTTATGAGTGCCAGAATCCTGTGATCGGTTGGATCTCAAGATTGCCTTGATTGTGATCTTGGTTGGTCAGTACCATACCTGTGCTTAAGGGTTTCTCCAAAGTTGTAAATGTCTACAAGAGCTGCATCACTTCGGCACTTCCTCCAACATTAAGCTGACATACTGTGATGTAACTAGAATGCTGTTCAATGCCGCATTAAACCCGACTCACTACCATCATCTGTTGAATGCAGAAGTGATTATTTATAACTTGATGATAACAATTGAGACTGTTTCAGTGACCATAAGACATAGTTTGACTGAGTAATAATTTGTTGTGTACACAATTAACTGTTCACTGTCTGGATACTAATCAAAAGATTATTGACTCTGGTATAATGAAAGAATCGGATGGTCCTTAACTTCTTTTGAGTAGTTTATTAGCTTGCCTTCTGCTATTAGTGCTGTCCACGGGCCAAAGGACCAGTGGTTAGGTCAAATACTCTGTTACTCTGCCCACAGCACTCCAAGCTGATTACCCCAAGCACTGGAGGGTTGGTACTGGGAAATCAAATATTTGTTTGTTGTTTAACGTCGCACTCAGCAATATCCCAGCTATATGATGGCGGTCTGTAAATAATCGAGTCTGAACCAGACAATCCCTCGCAATTGGGATACGATGACATGCATCAACCAAATCAGCCCGATCCCCCGATCCCGTTAGTCACCTTTTACAGCGAGCATGGGTTGCTGAAGACCTATTCTACCCCGGGTCTGCACGGATATCAAATAAAAATTGCTAACACCTGTATGGAACTGTTAAGCAGTCACGTCCTGAATGACAGGTGTAGGGTACATGGGCAGAGTTGGGGGCCTTCCATCTAATATTTTAGGGGAGGGGACCTGAAATTCTGGTTAGAAACAGGTTATTTTTTCAGTGTACAATTTAGAGCCGTATAATCTGAGGCTAAAATATTTTTCTTCAGATACTGCACTTGCTATTTTAAACCTGAGATTTTGTCCTCTACCACTTAGAAGATAATCCAAATGAGGAAAAATGGGTATTGATACAGTGTTTCCAAAAAAGTGTATGTTACATCGAATGGTTTCTGAATGAGTTGATTCCAGATTGGAGGCTGCAAGCTCACTAAACATGCCAGGTGCTTCAACATTAACACCCTAGTTACCCTGAGATGCCTGACTAGGCCTGCCTTAAATATCAACCAGACACTGCCCCTCCCTACACCTCGAGATTATTTACCTGTGATTTAGACATCTCTCAGACCAATTCACCACCATTTCCCCACCCAACCTACCTCACCCATCAAACACTAACCCACCCACCTTCCCACCCCAACCCCTCCTGGCTGAACTCTAGTTGCCCGAGATTTAAGACTATACTTGCCTACCAATCTACCACCATTCCCCACCCCATCCACTAACCCCACCCCTCTCCTGGCTGAATGCTAGTTGCCCTGAGATTTAAGACTAAACTTGCCTACAATCCACCACCATTCCCCACCCCATCCACTACCCCACCCCACCCCCTCCTGGCTGAACGCTAGTTGCCCAAGATTTAAGACTATACTTGCCTACCAATCCACCACCATTCCCCACCCCATCCACTACCCCCTCCCTACCCCCTCCTGCCTGAACGCTAGTTGCCCCAAGATTTAAGACTATACTTGCCTACCAATCCACCACCAATCCCCACCCCATCCACTACCCCCTCCTGCCTGAAAGCTAGTTACCCCGAGATTTAAGACTATAACCTCCCCACATGTATTGTCCTAATCTGACATAGCATGTCTGGGTGTAAACCCAATACCCCAGCAGTTAACAAGGTGAAGAGAGGTAATTAATGGGGGGCGATCACCATCTTGTAGAATTGTCTCAAGCTGACGCTCGCTGAATGGTACGGCTAGTAGGAATGTGGGTGCCACCCGCCTCACAGAAAACAATCTGGCGTGGCAGTCCTCTGGCTGTCAACCTAACAATGATGTCTGTATTACCACTTCAGGCTGCTATAGCCCATAGCCCATCAAGCTTGAATTTAATCAGGGCACTTCTAGACATATCTGTTGCACAAGTTGCATAGACCATAATCCCTGTTAATCCTGGTCCTATCTGATAATCTTGATATATCTCAGCAAATGCCAGCTGACAAGGCAAGCAAGCTACTTTAATAAGGATGTCTCTTGTAGCTTAAGTTTCTCGAAATCTTCAGAGTGCAAATGGTGAAAAAATTGACTGGTTCAGATTTCTGATTTTTTTATCGAGGAGATAATTGTCTCTTTTGATGGGTTTTTTGTCTGGTGGTTGAAGTGGAAGCCAAGGGGATAAACTATAGATCCAGTTCCACGGTCGGCCAACCCTCGGTGTGATCTGTATTCATGATTGGGAGGAGGGTGGCGAGTGACGGACGTCCGTCTCATGTCCGTCTCGTCAAGGCCGTTCAGGGAGCGTTAATTACATATTCATGGTGCATAGGTTATAGAAATACATTCACCTTGTTGAGTCAGACCAGAGAGATGTTTGTCTCCGAGCAGGGTCAAACTTATTTAGATGTACATTGTCATTTGGATTTTCTCAGCTCAATATTCATTACTCTCATTACATTGCTATATATTCACACTGAGGGAATAGGTAAAAAATAAATGATATTTATATAATAGAAATGATTGCAACTTGTATAAGAATCACTTGAATAATTACAAACTCCAATACTGTATTATCAAATTTGAATTTTGGGTAAGAAAATGTTTTTGTGTATTCAGCTTAGAAATAGTTATGTTATTTTGGGCGTATTTTGACAGGTTTCAATTCATGAATATCATTAAGTGTTCAAATAGATAGTCAGACATCACTTTGATATTTAGTACCAGCCTAACATTCTTATACAGGCTGTAAACATGAAATAGAAAAAAAGTGTGAAATAAAAGAAAAACACAGAATTTCTGCATTGAAAAATAAAAATATTTGAGTTAACAAAATCATTATTTAAAACAGTAAAATGAGTGTTTAAAACAGTAACACTGAATCTATCCTCCAAAGTATCTTTGAGTGGTATTTTTGATTGGTTCATTATGCCCTGTCTAAAGTACCCATGGCTGGAGTTACAGGATGCACATACACTATAGATGCAATGGACAGTGTGACATCAGGGCATGGACAGTACTTGGGTGTGTCAGGAAACATCACAATTGGCCAGCAAAAGGAAGCAAACGAGCGATGATCGACTATGATCGATAATAGTTTTGAGCATCCTTGGTAATTCAGCTCTTGATTTCTCCATTCTTTTAGGATAAATGCCCTAGACCCTAGACCTTAGATATGTTTGGAAAGGGACATCCCCATGTTCATCTGTGTTGTTGTTTTTCAGACTTTGCCATCACCGTCCTCCTGCAGGAAAGGGAAGGAGTCACCGTCCCCTGAGGTTGCGTCTCAAGCCAGATTTGAGGTACAGCCTTAGTGCCCTTGTTTTACAAAGTAAATGTGTTTATCAAAGTTAACAAAGATCCACATAAATAACTTTGCTTTCTGTCTTGTTTTTATTTTAATTAACTCGCAGTGCTGTATCTAAAACTGTAAATTTGGTGACATCCTCACCTAACTTGCGCATATGATTTTGGGAGCAGTGGGGTAGCCACTATATATGTGGTTAAAGCATTGGTTCAGACACGGGCTCAGTTCTCCACATGTGGATATTGTCTCAAACCCATTTCTGGTGTTTCCCCACCTCTTGATTTGATTATTGCTATGCTTAATTGCTAAGAGCAGCCTAAAAGTGTTGAGTGATGCTCATGCTATCAATCACTGGTCCACCTGGCCAAGACTTGATTCTTTACAGGCTAGCATCAGTTAACTGGCATATATCTCTTATTTGTTTTCTAACAAGCCATGTAAAAAGATAATTCAATTAAAAAATATGATAAATTATACGATGATAGATGACATTTGCTGTACAATTTCCGTACAATACATGCCTTCATCTATTGTGTGCCATCTTAAAGCATAGTACATATGAAGTCAATATGAGTTTACACAACTGTACTCTCAAACAGATACCTTTTCAGATTGTCAAGTTTACAATAGGTTTTGAGTTGTGTTTTTAGCCCAGACATAATCCCTTCTTAACACAGTATCTGTTGATTGAATGTCTTGACGCGATGTACAATTGGAATTGTCATGAAATTAATCCACCCAGCACAAAGCTCCTGTACAAGTGTTTGAATCCCGACCCAAACAAAAACAGCTTAAGTTCCCGACAAATTATGTGAAACCGAAGCTGGTGCGACCTCGTGTCATCACCTTATTTATAGCCCTGTTTCATTTTACTATTGTTGTTTTTCAGTCCTACCTACGTATACGCTGTAATCGGCAGTCACGCCTCAGCGGTAAGTATGTGTTAAGTTCTATTTATCATCCTCCAAACTGTGGGTGGCTGTTGTTTCGACACTGTCCCTTCACACTACAGTCTCTTGAATTTCTCGGAACAGGTGGATTTCAGACATGAAAGAATAGCGCGCATTCTTTGCATTTTCAGTTTTAACTTTATACTTTTGGGGAACAAATGGTTTTTTAAATGTTTGGTTTTAAGGAGAACAGTTATATTGTGAAATATTTGAGTTGACAAGAGCAGCAGGAGTGATAAAGTTTCAAGAGATATTGTTGTCAAAGAAACTGATAGATTTTGTGGCATCTGCAAGTTCTCGGGTGCATGATTTATCAGAATTTGTTTGTATGGAGCTGCTTTGAAAATTATCCTTTCATGGTACAGCAGTATCAAAATTATAGTGTGAACGTATTAAGTATTACTGCGTCTTAGGCATATTTGCATATTTAATTTTTTTTTTCTTCATTAAGGCTATGAAAAGCTCTTAAATGTTTCTCACGATCATGTTGGTTGTTTAATATGAATTGTCAATGCAAGAGAATAAATAACCAGTCTAGATTAGCCCCCGAAACAGATTCCATTCAGCGTAAAGGGCCAAATAGCTGTAAAAGTTGTTTGAATGGACCTGAAAATTAGGGATGATGAATGTGATATATTTACGATGATGAATAACTTCATGTTTTCTTCTGAAAAATCCGCCTTTTTTAATTGTTTCATGAAGGTCAAAATTGTCCCGATTTTAACGGATGAGTTATCTTTCCTTGCTTAATCTGTGCTGCCATGTTTGCTGGCTAGTTTTCATCCTACTAAGAAAAAAGAAAGAAAAAGTGCCTGTTAACCTGGTTGAATACTATGAAGGGGACTGTTACGGGGTTGAATGATTGATTGAAACTTTGAAGCATTGAAGCATTGTATTGTATGTGGCCTGATGGCAATAAGCAATGGCAGGGGGAAATAAGTTAACACCAGCACTGCACTACACTATTGATATCTGTTATTGAATAATATTGAGGATCATTTCCTCAAAAGTATTTTTTGTTAAACATACAGCCTTATCTCAGACCATAATTAGAGGTACTTCCCTTTTACAACCTCCCTTGTGATATTCTAGAAGTAGGATATGGTGGACCTACAAACGTTTGAGACCATGTCGAATATTGCCAGGAAAGCTGAAGGTACAATGTTAACTGAGGCAGTAGTATCATGATACTGATTTTTGACTATTGCAATACTATTGAAATATGGGGGACCTTTGATATATTTACCTAATTTCAAGCCTGCAGTTTGTCCGGGTCAGTTTGTCGAATGTAACAGGCATCCTTAGGACAAGTAGAATTCCAGTAGGAATTTTAGGGGAATCTTATATGTTATCACTATTCGTGAATGTTCCAGTTTATGTTGTGTCCCTGATAAATTGAAAGCTGTATTAATACAAACTCACATATCTATATCTTACTAGAAATTGTGATGAAAGAAATAGATTGAATCTGTATTATCATATTTTTCTTCTCAAAGTTTTCTTCTCCGTATTTTTTTTTCGGATTTAGATTATAAAATTTTAAATAATTTATTTATATTGATAGTGACAGTAAGTCAAATGTTTTCACCTTTAACTTGTTTCTGGTCGGCAGAAAGAAAGAAAAAAAAAGTACTATTAAATATTTAAAAAAAAATTACAATTCAATTTCTTCTGGTCATGGGATTTGTAAACCAATTTTTGAAATATGTCTGGCCTTATGTTCATGAACAAATGCCGAACATTTTATGCACCCAGTAGCAGGGATTCTAATTATTGGGAAACAGATGTGATTTATGGGTCGGTGCTGCTGTTAAGTGTGACACATTCCCTGGTATCAAAACTACAAATACTTCTCATGAATTTCTGCGTTCACAAAAAGCGTTCATAAATTTCCACGGATCTATAAAACATGCGAACATCAGGTCTTCAAAACAAGGTTCATCAGGTCCGAACACATCACTGGCATCCCTCTACCCACGACAGCTGACAAAAGCATTTATTTTAATTAATGTTACACAACTGCTACAATGGTTGTATCATGTTTCCATTTCCTGTGTCCTATTATTCAAACAAATCCCTGTAACAAAGTAAACGTCTCCGATACTGACACACTGGTAGTCCTACATGACTATTATTCCCCTGTACCAGGCTGTTAAAGCGGGGTTCGTAATCGGAGTGTTTTGCTCGGCAATTTGTCTCGGTGCCCTACCGGCTTCCTTTGCTTGGATTGTCAGGCTTAATTTGATTAATATAAACTGACTAGATCAAGACTGGTTTAGACTGGTTGTGTCATTCACCTAATCCTGTCCTTATCGCGAATAATGCTGACAATATTTTATTTGATACGAGCAAGGGTCAGAAGGATATCAACGAACTTCTTGAACTTTATCCAAGTTGCACTGGAGACATAGGAAGATCATTATCTTTGTCTTTAAGCATGATTAATCTGTATTGATTGCTCTATTAGTCATGCCGTGAAGGTATCCTTGTTATGAAAAGCATTAGTGTGGAGATTATTGTAGCTTCAGAGTTTTCCTGCCTATTGATTTGGGTTGAAATATGGGAGATAAAAATAGTCTCTTTTGTCATGGTCACAAAGTGTTTTAATTTATGAAGTTGAATACTGCCTTCTCTTCCTTTGTTCCTGGTTCATATACAACTCAAAAATGTTAAGGATCACCTGATTCTTTCATATTCTTTAGTAATAGGAAAGAATCTGGTGATCTTTTACTTTTTTGAGTGTATGTTATAATTATTACAACTGTCAACTTTTGCCACTAGTTTTAGTCAAACTCTTTCTGCCTATAAGCTCAGCTCATAGTAGCCCATATATTAACATTGAAGTATAACAAGATTTGCATATGAGTTGGTAAAGTGAGCATGTGTCTTTCAAAGTTAATATGGTAACCACTTTTTTATTATTACATGTTATTTATGGTTGGATGAACTCTTCTGTGTTTTAAATTAATGCAAAATGTTACCTTTTTTTTTGCATTTGTAGCTCGGTGCCGGAATAAGAAGAAGAAGCCATCGGAGGAAGGTTACAAGGAGACATTATGTCCGGTGTGTAATGACAGACTAGCAGGGAATGCTGACGAACTCAACGCCCATGTAGAACAGTGCTTAAAGAAGGCTGGTTAATTTTACAGAATAGATACATTACCATTCATACCCATCTTGACAAATGATCGTTATGACTTCTCAAACTAGAACACTATTTAGGGAAACAATAACTTTAGAATAACTGTTTGCTTGGTGAACTGTGTCAGATGGTTTTATGAGGATATCCATTTTTGAAAATACACTGGAATGCCTTATACCCATTTTGCCTAAATTGGTCACTGAATTAATAATAATATCCTTGTTCAAAAATGGGTTATTTTCTGTTTTCCCCAAATTATATCCCTATAATCAGACGAATGCACAGCTGCAATAGTTTTGGGACAAGGATAAGGGAACACTAGCTCCCTCATTGATGAATGCAGCGCTGGAATATTGCTAAAAGCAGCCTAAAACCTTACTCACATATTGTAATGCCATGACGTAATACTTATGCTAGAACAAACTAGATATGCCAGACTAAATATTCGAGGTTGCTGTTACTTTTCGCTAGTCAGTTGTTGGAGGTAACTTTAGTTCAGGTTTTATTGTGAATGTCTTTCTCCACAGTATCAAACCCGTGGAGACCTGGGTGAGGATGAGCCAGTGGACGTGGAGGGGGACGGCGACCAGTACGAGGAGTATACATGGGCGGGGCAGACCAGGATCAGGGCTACCACCATGCTGCAGGGGGGGTTTGCCAGTGAGTTGTTCATTCATTCATTCACACTTCATAGCCCGGGGTGGGGTGGGGTGGGGTGGCCCAGTCATCTAAGGCGCCTCGATTCGCTGTGCAGAGTTGCGTCCCTTGGGCATGCCAGAAACCTATGATTGTAGGTTCGAATCCCGGTTTGCCCCGATTATGTTTCTAGGTTTGTCAGCACCATACCCGTGCTCATGGGTTTCACCGAAGTGGTAAACGTCTGAGACCTGCATAACTTCGGGCTTTCCTCCCACATTAAGCTGACACGCCGCGTTATAACTGGAATACTGTTAAAAGCGGCGTTAAACCCAACTCACTCACTCAGTCATAGCCCAGGGGGTGAGGTTGGGTAGCCTAGTGGTTACAGCATTCGCTCATCACGACAAAGACCCGGGGAACGTGGGTACAATGTGTGAAGCCCATTTATGGTGTTCCCTGCCATGATCTTGCTGGAATATTGCTAAAAGCAGCATAAAAGCTTTCACTGGCTGTTGGGTGGCCAGGTTTCTGGGACTTGATTGCTTGCATGTGGTTGTATCCCGTCGACGTGGGACATGGTCATGATATCAATCACTGGTTTGTCTGGTTCAGATTCATTTACTTAGATTGACGTAATATTGCTGGAATTTTGCTGAATGTGGCCTTAAACAACAAACAAAAGACATCTTTGATTGAAATAAGATGTTTGTTTGTTGTTTAATGTCACACTCAAAAATATTCCACCTATATGGTGGCAGTCTGTATATAATCAAGTCTGTTTCCAGTGTTGACATTATGAGCATCGATCCACGCAGTTGGGATACGATGACATGAATCAACCAAGTCAGCGAGCCTGACCACCCGATCCCGTTAGTTGCCTTTTACGAGAAGTAGGTTGCTGAAGACGAATTCTTACCTGAATCTTGAAATAAAAAAATGGTTGCATTTCAAAACCATGATGACACAGATTGTCATGTTTGTCTGTTGCAGAGTCAGGATTCCAGACGATGAACTTACGAAGAATACAAGACGAAGATATTGATCTCAATGTAGACGGGGATGATTCTGAAGAGTATGGAAAACCTCAGTATCCTTTCATTGCAAATGTGGAAACAGGCAGACATCATTCACCTGGCAACGTGCCATAATATTCTTGAGAACTATTGCAGTTGTTCCAAAATCCATAGCAGGTCCCCATTTCAATGATGTCCAATCTAATGATGTTACACTGATGAGCTGGCTGACTCGATTAAGCACTGTCATGCTGTCAACCACTGGTTTATGTTTAGCTTTAGTTGATTACCCAAAGTGCTTTTGTTTGTTTGTTGTTTAATGCCGCACTCAGCAATTTTCCAGCTATATGACGGTGGTTTGAAAAAAAATCTAGTCTGGACCTGACAATCCAGTGATTGACATCATGAGCATCGATCCTCGCAATTGGGAAACGATGACATGCATCAACCAAGTCAGCAAGGCTGACCACCCGATCCTGTTAGTCGCCTCTTACAACAAGTGTAGTCGCCTTTTATGGCAAGCATGGGTTGCTGAAGACCTATAAAAGTGGTAAACGTCCAAGACCCTCATCATTTAGGGTTTTCCTCACACATATAAATGTTTAAATATTGTTAATCCAAACTCACTCACCCACTTTGGAATGAACTAGTTTAGGGAAAACGAATCTCGAATATCTGGAGTTCTACTCCTGTGCAATTTAGCCATTGAAGATATAATTTTTCGACAAATTGCATGATGTTGAGGAGTGTGAGACATGTTTCTTTTCCTTAACCTTGTTAAGATTTTCTGAAGTTGATGTGATTCCTGTCAGTGCAGATGAACCGGGCGAGGACCGCGAGAGACAGGCATTGAGAGGAGCGTTACTCAGGTGGGTAGACTTACGCTGTTATCTCAGGGGGGCATGGGTGGACCAGTGGCCTAATGTGTGCACAGTTGTGTCCCTTAGTCATGACAGGATCAGTTGATTAAGTTTGAGTCCCAGTTTAGCCCATCTTCCAGAGGCAAGGGCATTAACTGACTGTAAAAGTCAAGTTTCCACCCTTGCTGAAATAGGCTGCAATTATGGAGGTATAGTATGACTGGACAAACGAGTTTAGGCAAAGTCCAGTCAAAATCGCGTAACAAAATCGACACCCGGTTTACAAACAACATGGATTTCAAATGTGCAGATTTCGGTCAAATGCAGGATTTGCAAAAGATTTGTACCGTCTACTTGGCATCGACAGACGTTTTCCAAATCTTTTCATGTTTTTAATCAAGGTGCTCACGTGATATGATGAAATTCGCTAAGTAAGGCCGGTTTTTTACAATATAGATCTTGATTATTGGTCAGATTGTCTTGACTGGGCGCTGCCTTTTTGTTTGAAGCAAATGCAAGTGATATGAGAGGTGGAATTAAACTGGTCAATAGGAGGGGCATAGAAGGGACATAACTTTGTTTTAAATCTGTAACAGGATCAGTTTGTTTCTCAAGTATGTGAAATCAAGTAGTTTGAGTGAAAAGTTTCTATATCATTTTAATTTCTCTTCTTTTTGAGTAAGTGTGTTTTGGAGATTATGAAATTCATCTCCTGAGTTTTAGCTGTTAAACTGATGATTGTAATGTCTGTCTTTCAGTTCTGACCCAAGTTCTTCACATACAGAAGGTAAGTAATATCAATGGGGTTTTCACTTGTGAGTGGAGCGAGATGAGCCACCATTGCCCAAAATATACACCAACAACTTTCTTGGCATGCTTTTTTCCATTAATGTGAATTGATAATTGTCGAACATGAACCAATTCGAGCAACCATATAGTAAAATACATGGACATCAGCAAATTTATGGAATGTTGCTTCAGCTGAATAAAAAAAATCTAGACTTGAAGAGTTATGTCCCCTTAACTGGTGTTATCCAGACATGTTTAAAGTTAATGGGTGTAACTTTGTGATCTAGGGAGCAGCTATGTCTGCATTGTGGTCTGATATTGTCACTGAATGATGGATAACTTAGTATTTTGTCGACGGGCCCCACTGTATCCTGTGTCGAGTGCATTTGTAATTGCTTATGCCTGATTCTTGCTTATTTCTAGGGCATTCCAACTCTCCCGAGTGTCAAAGTAAGCAGTCACATGACCACAACCACGATGTTCCTATGGAGGGGTCAAGGTATGTGCTGCACATTGAAGACTTCATGAATGCGTGGATTGGACTACAAGTTCCATTCACACCTACAGATATCTTGCATTATTGTTGGTCTCTGTATGTTTATTTGTTGTTTACGCCGCACTCACCGATATTCCAGCTATATGTCGGCCTGTAAATAATTGAGTCTTAAACAGACAATCCAGAGATTGACATAATGAGTATCGATCTACGCAATTGGCACATGATGACATGCATTAACCAAGTCGCCAAGTTCCGATCCCCTAGTTGCCTCTTACAACAAGCATGGGATGTGGAAGACCAGTTCTAACCCTGATCTTCACCGGTACATCTAGATAGCACTGGTAGTGGACAAGGGGAGTTCCAATTCGGACACTGTTATTGGCGTAGTGGTGTCACCATCATTGTATGCACTGCTGTAGGTAATCTACTACAGTCTACACCAGACACATCACTGGTTGATGTGATGAGCAATGCACCATGCTGTCCTGCTACAATGACACGGAATCAACCAAGGCACAAAGCCTGCCTGATCCAATTTAATCGCTTTCTTTGATAGGTTGCTGGGGATTGATTCTAACCCAGAATACCAATGGGGTCACAGGTAGCATGAGATTCCACAATTTGCTGTTCAGAGTTTTGTGCATCAGACGTGCCATGATCAGATGGTTTGAATGCCTTGTGGGCCCTACTGATGATAGTTGGTCTGTCAGCACCACACCTGTGCTGTTTCGGTTTGCATCAAAGTAAACGTCAATAAACTTTGTCACATTATCCTTTCCTTCCACGACCAACAAAGATAAAGTTTGTTTGTTGTTTAACGCCTCACTAAACAATATTCCAGCTATATGACGGCGGTCTGTAAATTTTGAGTCTGGACCAGACAATCCAGCGATTGATATCGATCCACGCAATTGGAATCGATGACATGCACCCCAAAGATGAAGTGACAAGATACAACGGCCTCACCGGGCTCACCCCATTCACTGTACCTGTGTCATTACTTCACTTTGTTTTTATGAGCAGATGACTGTTCTCAACAATAGTGAAATGCATGCTCAAAAACAAGCTGATACAATGGGGTCAAAATCATGTTGAAATGAGATTTCCTGTAGCAATGGTTATCTGTTCACTAAAACACTACCGTTAAAAGAATATCTGGAACAGCTTTATTTTTCAATGATCTTAAATTGCAGTTTGTTTTTTGTTTCAGTGTGAGCACGAGCACAGGTTCGTCTACATCAGAAGTTATCAGTGCACTGCGGTCCCGACTCCGGGATCTGGAGGAGGAGAAGTCCGAGAGACAGAAGTGTCTCATCTGTATGGTGAGTAGCAGATGGCTTGCCAACTGTGGCCAAGGCCAGCCATATTATATTGTTTTCCAATATCAACTTAAGAGGCAAGTGGTGGAAATTAATATAAATAAAAACCAACCTTTGATTTAGAATACACCTGTAGGTTATCCATTGATCTTCCACCTGATCAAGGGTTCAAATTGTAGTTTCATCTCAGTGATGCTTGGTTTGTCAGCACCATACACTTGGGTGTATCCAAAAGTGAAAAAATTTCTTCGACCTGCATTAATATGCTTTTCCTCCTACACAATACTCTCAGCTCAGGACAAACTTGAGCGTTATCATGATTCAATTCACTGCAAACCGACACAATTTGGTTGCGTAGGGTGTCATAGTATACTGTGGGGCCAGAGTTGCAGGCCTAAGCAATGCCAGCATGTGCTGATCATCGGTTTAATGAGACCACCTCCATGATCTAGTGGTAGAGCATCTAAGCGGAGAGTGGAAGGTCGGAGGTTCAGTCCCTGGCCACGTCATACCAAAAGACGTAGAAAGATGGTACTTGTTGTTATCCTGCCTGGCGCTTGGCATTAAGGGGCTAAAACAAGGAGTGGTCGGCTCGGAGACAGTATACTGAGTTGGGTATTCATGTTAAACTGTTACATGGTATCTCAGTGGGCTAGCACTATAAAATCAATGTTAGTCAAGACTAGTACAGTCAGCCACACCCACGTGCATGCACGTTACTATATAAGTGCAATCATCTTGAATGTAATGTTAAACCCCATTTCACCTTACCTCCGTTATATGTTTTTTTGTCAGGACCAGGCCAGACTTCAAAACGTTTTTATGATTTGGTTACCCACGGAATCATGACATACCCAGATACTTGAGGTATATTACGGAATATATGTTTAAAGTAGGGCATAGTAGGTTTAGAATATAGGTATGAAGCTGTCCAATTATAAGTAGGGTAACAGTAAGAGAAACACTTGCTTACCCATGTTTAATGTTTTACAGGAACCCTACCGGAATGCCCTGACGTCAATACAGTGCTGGCACGTCCACTGTGAAATGTGTTGGCTCAAAACACTGGTGAGTCTTGCAAGACACAACTGAGAGAAGATGGTATATCATGCAAAATACATTTCTCAGGATTTACTAAAACTAATGCTGATCCTGTGTGCCTTTATACAAGTTTTGTAGATGATCAGGTTTACCAGGTTAACTTTCTCATTTGGCAATATGTTTTGAACAAATTAAACCACTACCCGACATGAATTTCCTCATTATATGAAAAAATGCACCATCTATATCTTAAATGCTGTATCCTCTCTAGTAGTGTTTGCTGTAGTTGTCAAATTTGAGATTCTTTGGATTTGCTGAGGTCTCAGTGCTTCATGCTGCTTAAAATGGAGATCAGGCCAACCAAAGAGCTGAAGCCTGGATTCCATAGTGTTGTATGATGATGTCATCAACATATAAGGAATGTAAATTTGTGCAGCAGTCAATGTTTCAGTTATTTCTCAATGTCTTGCAATAAGTTTGTATTGGCCAGGAGAACCAGTGGTTGATAGCACAACCCACACCATAGGAGCATGACGAGAGTCGGCCAGATCAGTGGAACCATCCAAACATTATTTATGTCTTGGGATGGTGGCGTAGCCTAGTGGTTAGAGCGGTCGCTCGTCGAATGGGTACAATGTGTGAAGCCCATTTTTGGTTTCCCCCGCTGTGATATTCCTGGAATATTGCTTAAAGTGGTGTAAACCAATACTCACTCCCTCATAAGTCTAAGGGTGTTACGACAAACATGGGATAACCATTCTACCTTCCACCCTGTTATCCCAAGAAAGATCAGGATCTGTAATTCATGTCAACAAGATCTCATATTTTAAGACAGATAATTCTGAATTTCCTTTTTCTTTCAGGGAGCGAAGAAGTTGTGTCCACAATGCAACATGATTACCTCCCCTTCTGATCTCCGAAGAATATATCTCTAGTTCCCATCCCATCCACCAGGTGTCCGTAGGCTTGTAGTCTTGTTTGCAATCAGGGACAATTTTCATTGGCTGTGGATCCTCGTTGTTTGCTGGCTTAGCCAATCAGAAATCAGTACCTGGATCTGAGGTGAAGAAGTCAGTACAAGAAATCTGTTGGTGATGAGCTGCCCTATTGGTGCAAAGTGTTATATGTGAAAATGTAAATAAATAAAGGTTTTATTGCCAAAGTAGACCGTTGTAATGTAAAAATACCATACTGTACAGATAAATTATATGATATGATGTATTGTTATAACTTTGAATTATGTAATGCATAGTCGTGGAGGACTAGTGTCATTTTGTTCCAATGTTATGATATTTGTGGATGTTTTAAAGGTTTAATCATGATCAACCAGTATTAATGTTTAAGTCATCCCAAATTCACAAGATTTTAGTTTCCTGGAATTGTCATTTATTTGCATTAAAAAGATAAATTGGTTCGTTCATTATGAAGTACATGAAAAGTCATGAATTTCAAAGTATACCTGTTTTAAACAAATATTACATCAAAATAAGAATTTGATTTTTTGTTTTCATAAATCAAGTTGATTGAGAATCAGTTAAACACAGGATGTTTCCTTCTCAAATTATGAAGTTCAAATGCTGTTTGTCAAATGTTTTGGTTAATGGTCTCCTACAAAATGGTTATTTCACATGGTGAATTGTAGTTTTGTGTTGAGAGCCTGTAGCAGCACAGTCAGAAAATCACAGTATTACAACCTGGAGACATTATTTCCATGTGTGATAGGACTATTAAGGCATAATATTTGTGGTATCATTTTCTTTTGAAAGAACCTGCATTTTATAAACAGTGCTCCAGATCCTGCTCCCTCCAAAACCCTGCTTTCATTATGGTTGTCATAAACACTGACTGTAATTTGTCTTGTTAATCCAGAAAATTGAATACCCGTAATGTTTTATGGGGTTTAAGAGTATTCAGGAAGAGATCAAGGCCACAGTGGGGCGTGAAATATAATATGTTTACAGTAGGAAGTAATATATCCCTAAAGAAATTAAACTTGGTTGCTTCATAACATGATTTTTCCATAATGCTACACGGCGAGACCCCCTTAACAGTTCGGAAACAATGCAAGCAAAATGATATTTTCCAAGCCAGAGTGTATATTGGCATTGCCCTACCCAGAATCTTTTTCCTTGCCACCTGCAGATGTACTACTGTTTCTCAGAAGTTAAAGAACACCCTATTTTCTTCATATTTCTACAGTTAACCTGTCATGCCACAACAGATTAACTAGTAATATGAAAGAATAGTGTTCTTAACTTCTTTTGAGTAATATATTTGTGATATGTACTTGTTAGATGCATATAAATTGTCCGGAGATGAGATAGGAATATTTTATGACAGACTATACTCCCATAAAACCTACAAGTAACTCGTGTGGCCCTATGCGTATTGAGATAATGTGATCACACGAAATAAAGAGCGAGATTCGCTTATGAGTCATGACATCACTTTTGAAAGGAATTATTTGGGTCATGGTTGTTTTTGTTTTTTAAATTGTTGAGACTGCACTACATTTCAAAAGTCATTGTTTATTGTGAACGTTTTGTAATAGAATGTATTTCAAGATTTACTTTCAGAAATAAACCTAGACATATTTGACCCAATTCGGTAAATCTAGGTCTGCTCTGTCAGTACATGTGAAAAGAAATACCAGCAATAGTTTTGTATTGGAGTGAGTGTTTGTTGATGAAGTCCAGTAAACATTGTCTACTTGTGTGTCATGTGAATTGCTTCAACATGGCTTAGCCTCCAGCATTTAAGAAAAAGGGAAGACTTCGGAATGATTGTAGGTGTAGATCTTTATAAGTGTGATAATCAGTCTGCATTTCATATTGATCACTTCTTTCATAATATTTAAAAAATATACTCCTGAAAAGAAGTTCCAATAGCACCCGATTTTGTCATATGACTTACTATAGTTGGGTGTTCTTTAACTTCTTTTGAGCATTATATAGTGAAAACAGTTGATATCTTGTGACAAATGCTGCCAACAGCAAGCTTGTACCAGAAATGATCTCATACCGATATTATTGCATTAGATGCAGATATTTGTTTTTTGGACTGGTGAATTTTTTCTTTTCATATTCTTCCTTATCTATGCTGCTTTATTAGGGCAGTCAAATAAGATTTAACATTTTTCATCTGTCAAGTCTTCATATGTTGTTGAAACTAAAATAAAATGCTGTCCCAAATTAACAGAAAGGATTAACTAAATATTTTTCAACTGATCAGGGCCCACTTGCACAAAGCGATCTTAGCGCTAAGATAATTGTAACTCACATACTTTAACATAGGGTTAAGATAATCGTAGCACTAAGATGGCTCTGTGCAAGTGGCCCTAGGATTGAATCCCAGGTTAACCTTGGTTTGGTGGCACCAAATGTCTTTGAGCCAAGTCAGTCCTGCCTTTCCTGCTACATTAAGGCAATGTGGCATGATATAACCAATACTGTCAGGCCCCACCACAAACCATTCAGGGAATGTGACAAGTATTTAATCATATCAGCTGAGCTCAATACGAAAACAATGTACGAGTCAGCGATAGGTTCAGGGAGCTGTTTTAGCAGTTCACCAGAAATTAATGTACATGTATAGGTTTTATGTGACCTTGGACCTTGGACCTTTCATTTAGTTGGTTCATTCAAAACTTGTCCGCTGAAGGCAGAATATATTTTACCAACAGCAGCTGTTTTACTCTGAGTGTTCTGTTGTATGAAAAAAACATTGATACTGGAGAGTTAGACAATGTGTATCTAAATTTGTGTGTAATTATATTTATGAATGGGTGACTGTTCACACACGGATTGATCTCTTCGTGTAGAACAGACTTTGGGAAACTCTACCAAGTGCTATGCTCGACGAGTTGTAGATATTGTGTGTATGATTATTGTTCTTATGAGCTGAAAAATATTCCAAAGATATTCTCCACAGCACACCACTGTGGTGAAAAAGTGTAAATAAAATGCCAGAAAATTTGAAATCATCTTTGTTCTTGTTTGTTACCAGTTTTAAAAAGTGTTAAGGACATGATTTCACTCGTTTGCCTGTTCCAGGCTTGATAATGCATAGACTGCGGACATTAGACAACATCATTCAACACTTTAAGAATCATCCTCCAAGAAAACACAATGTCTATTAATCTGAAATATTGATGTTGGATTTTTTTTCACATCAACATATTCTATAAATTTTGAAAATCTTCAAGAACCCTGCAAACCACATTGCCCACACAGATGCTTAGGTCTTGCAAACAATTACCTCTCAGAATAAATATCATAAACTTCATGACAATGCTGTGGGGTGGCACCCTTACCTCGCTGCCTTACTCTCCCACACTCACTCACTCACACACTGAAGGGGGAGGCTGGTCAGGGGCAGGTGCCTGGTTGTTAGCCGTGGGAGGCTGGTCTGGGGGAGGGGCCTGGTTGTTAGCAGTGGAAGGCCGGTCTGGGGGAGGGGCCTTGTTAGCAGTGGGAGGCTGGTCTGGGGGAGGGGCCTTGTTAGCAGTGGGAGGCTGGTCTGGGAGAGGTGTCTGGTTGTTAGCAGTGGGAGGCTGGTCTGGGGAAGGTGCCTCGTTGTAAGCAGTGGGAGGCTGGTCTTGGGGAGGTGCCTCGTTGTTAGCAGTGGGAGGCTGGTCTGGTGGAGGTGTCTGGTTGTTAGCAGTGGGAGGCTGGTCTGGGGGAGGTGCCTGGTTGTTAGCAGTGTGAGACTGGTCTGGGAGAGGTGCCTGGTTGTTAGCAGTGGGAGGCTGGTCTGGGGAAGGTGCCTCGTTGTTAGCAGTGGGAGGCTGGTCTGGCGGAGGTGTCTGGTTGTTAGCAGTGGGAGGCTGGTCTTGGGGAGGTGCCTCGTTGTTAGCAGTGGGAGGCTGGTCTGGCGGAGGTGTCTGGTTGTTAGCAGTGGGAGGCTGGTCTGGGAAGGTTCCTGGTTGTTAGCAGTGGGAGGCTGGTCTGGGGAAGGTGTCTGGTTGTTAGCAGTGGGAGGCTGGTCTGGGGGAGGTGTCTGGTTGTTAGCAGTGGGAGGCTGGTCTGGGGGAGGTGTCTGGTTGTTAGCAGTGGGAGGCTGGTCTGGGGGAGGTGTCTGGTTGTTAGGTGGAGGAGCTCGTCTGGGAGAGGTGCCTTATTAGCAGTGGGAGGCTGGTCTTGGGGAGGTGCCTGGTTGTTAGCAGTAGGAGGCTGGTCTGGTGGAGGTGTCTGGTTGTTAGCAGTGGGAGGCTGGTCTGGGGGAGGTGCCTGGTTGTTAGCAGTGTGAGACTGGTCTGGGAGAGGTGCCTGGTTGTTAGCAGTAGGAGGCTGGTCTGGGAAGGTTCCTGGTTGTTAGCAGTGGGAGGCTGGTCTGGGGGAGGTGTCTGGTTGTTAGCAGTGGGAGGCTGGTCTGGGGGAGGTGTCTGGTTGTTAGCAGTGGGAGGCTGGTCTGGGGGAGGTGTCTGGTTGTTAGCAGTGGGAGGCTGGTCTGGGGGAGGTGTCTGGTTGTTAGGTGGAGGAGCTCGTCTGGGAGAGGTGCCTTATTAGCAGTGGGAGGCTGGTCTGGGGGAGGTGCCTGGTTGTTAGCAGTGTGAGACTGGTCTGCCGAAGGTGCCTGGTTGTTAGCTGGGAGAGGTGTCTTGTTAGCAGTAGAAGGCTGGTCTGGGGGAGGTGCCTCGTTGTTAGCAGTAGGAGGCTGGTCTGGGGGAGGTGCCTGGTTGTTAGCAGTATTAGGTTGGTCTGGGTAAAGTGCCTGGTTGTTAGGTGGAGGAGCTAGTCTGGGGAAGGTGCCTTGTTGTTAGCAGTAGGAGGCTGGTCTGGCGGAGGTGCCTTGTTAGCAGTGGGAGGCTGGTCTGGCGGAGGTGCCTGGTTGTTAGCAGTAGGAGGCTGGTCTGGCGGAGGTGTCTGGTTGTTAGCAGTAGGAGGTTGGTCTGGGAGAGGTGCCTTGTTGTTAGCAGTGGGAGGCTGGTCTGGGGAAGGTGCCTGGTTGTTAGCAGTGGGAGGCTGGTCTGGGAGAGGTGCCTTGTTGTTAGCAGTGGGAGGCTGGTCTGGGGGAGGGGCCTTGTTAGCAGTGGGAGGCTGGTCTGGCGGAGGTGCCTGGTTGTTAGCAGTAGGAGGCTGGTCTGGCGGAGGTGTCTGGTTGTTAGCAGTAGGAGGTTGGTCTGGGAGAGGTGCCTTGTTGTTAGCAGTAGGAGGCTGGTCTGGCGGAGGTGTCTGGTTGTTAGCAGTAGGAGGTTGGTCTGGGAGAGGTGCCTGGTTGTTAGCAGTGGGAGGCTGGTCTGGCGGAGGTGCCTGGTTGTTAGCAGTGGGAGGCTGGTCTGGCGGAGGTGCCTGGTTGTTAGCAGTGGGAGGCTGGTCTGGGGGAGGTGTCTGGTTGTTAGCAGTGGGAGGCTGGTCTGGGGAAGGTGCCTGGTTGTTAGCAGTGGGAGGCTGGTCTGGCGGAGGTGTCTGGTTGTTAGCAGTAGGAGGCTGGTCTGGCGGAGGTGCCTTGTTGTTAGCAGTAGGAGGCTGGTCTGGCGGAGGTGCCTGGTTGTTAGCAGTGGGAGGCTGGTCTGGGAGAGGTGCCTTGTTGTTAGCAGTGGGAGGTTGGTCTGGGAGAGGTGCCTTGTTGTTAGCAGTAGGAGGCTGGTCTGGGAGAGGTGCCTTGTTGTTAGCAGTAGGAGGCTGGTCTGGCGGAGGTGCCTGGTTGTTAGCAGTGGGAGGCTGGTCTGGCGGAGGTGTCTGGTTGTTAGCAGTGGGAGGCTGGTCTGGGAGAGGTGCCTTGTTGTTAGCAGTAGGAGGCTGGTCTGGCGGAGGTGCCTGGTTGTTAGCAGTGGGAGGCTGGTCTGGCGGAGGTGTCTGGTTGTTAGCAGTGGGAGGCTGGTCTGGGGGAGGTGTCTGGTTGTTAGCAGTGGGAGGCTGATCTGTGAGAGGTGCCTGGTTGTTAGCCGTGGGAGGCTGGTCTGGGGGAGGGGCCTGGTTGTTAGCAGTGGAAGGCTGGTCTGGGGGAGGGGCCTGGTTGTTAGCAGTGGAAGGCCGGTCTGGGGGAGGGGCCTTGTTAGCAGTGGGAGGCTGGTCTGGGGGAGGGGCCTTGTTAGCAGTGGGAGGCTGGTCTGGGAGAGGTGTCTGGTTGTTAGCAGTGGGAGGCTGGTCTGGGGAAGGTGCCTCGTTGTAAGCAGTGGGAGGCTGGTCTTGGGGAGGTGCCTCGTTGTTAGCAGTGGGAGGCTGGTCTGGTGGAGGTGTCTGGTTGTTAGCAGTGGGAGGCTGGTCTGGGGGAGGTGCCTGGTTGTTAGCAGTGTGAGACTGGTCTGGGAGAGGTGCCTGGTTGTTAGCAGTGGGAGGCTGGTCTGGGGAAGGTGCCTCGTTGTTAGCAGTGGGAGGCTGGTCTGGCGGAGGTGTCTGGTTGTTAGCAGTGGGAGGCTGGTCTTGGGGAGGTGCCTCGTTGTTAGCAGTGGGAGGCTGGTCTGGCGGAGGTGTCTGGTTGTTAGCAGTGGGAGGCTGGTCTGGGAAGGTTCCTGGTTGTTAGCAGTGGGAGGCTGGTCTGGGGAAGGTGTCTGGTTGTTAGCAGTGGGAGGCTGGTCTGGGGGAGGTGTCTGGTTGTTAGCAGTGGGAGGCTGGTCTGGGGGAGGTGTCTGGTTGTTAGCAGTGGGAGGCTGGTCTGGGGGAGGTGTCTGGTTTTTAGGTGGAGGAGCTCGTCTGGGAGAGGTGCCTTATTAGCAGTGGGAGGCTGGTCTTGGGGAGGTGCCTGGTTGTTAGCAGTAGGAGGCTGGTCTGGTGGAGGTGTCTGGTTGTTAGCAGTGGGAGGCTGGTCTGGGGGAGGTGCCTGGTTGTTAGCAGTGTGAGACTGGTCTGGGAGAGGTGCCTGGTTGTTAGCAGTGGGAGGCTGGTCTGGGAAGGTTCCTGGTTGTTAGCAGTGGGAGGCTGGTCTGGGGGAGGTGTCTGGTTGTTAGCAGTGGGAGGCTGGTCTGGGGGAGGTGTCTGGTTGTTAGCAGTGGGAGGCTGGTCTGGGGGAGGTGTCTGGTTGTTAGCAGTGGGAGGCTGGTCTGGGGGAGGTGTCTGGTTGTTAGGTGGAGGAGCTCGTCTGGGAGAGGTGCCTTATTAGCAGTGGGAGGCTGGTCTGGGGGAGGTGCCTGGTTGTTAGCAGTGTGAGACTGGTCTGCCGAAGGTGCCTGGTTGTTAGCTGGGAGAGGTGTCTTGTTAGCAGTAGAAGGCTGGTCTGGGGGAGGTGCCTCGTTGTTAGCAGTAGGAGGCTGGTCTGGGGGAGGTGCCTGGTTGTTAGCAGTATTAGGTTGGTCTGGGTAAAGTGCCTGGTTGTTAGGTGGAGGAGCTAGTCTGGGGAAGGTGCCTTGTTGTTAGCAGTAGGAGGCTGGTCTGGCGGAGGTGCCTTGTTAGCAGTGGGAGGCTGGTCTGGCGGAGGTGCCTGGTTGTTAGCAGTAGGAGGCTGGTCTGGCGGAGGTGTCTGGTTGTTAGCAGTAGGAGGTTGGTCTGGGAGAGGTGCCTTGTTGTTAGCAGTGGGAGGCTGGTCTGGGGAAGGTGCCTGGTTGTTAGCAGTGGGAGGCTGGTCTGGGAGAGGTGCCTTGTTGTTAGCAGTGGGAGGCTGGTCTGGGGGAGGGGCCTTGTTAGCAGTGGGAGGCTGGTCTGGCGGAGGTGCCTGGTTGTTAGCAGTAGGAGGCTGGTCTGGCGGAGGTGTCTGGTTGTTAGCAGTAGGAGGTTGGTCTGGGAGAGGTGCCTTGTTGTTAGCAGTAGGAGGCTGGTCTGGCGGAGGTGTCTGGTTGTTAGCAGTAGGAGGTTGGTCTGGGAGAGGTGCCTGGTTGTTAGCAGTGGGAGGCTGGTCTGGCGGAGGTGCCTGGTTGTTAGCAGTGGGAGGCTGGTCTGGCGGAGGTGCCTGGTTGTTAGCAGTGGGAGGCTGGTCTGGGGGAGGTGTCTGGTTGTTAGCAGTGGGAGGCTGGTCTGGGGAAGGTGCCTGGTTGTTAGCAGTGGGAGGCTGGTCTGGCGGAGGTGTCTGGTTGTTAGCAGTAGGAGGCTGGTCTGGCGGAGGTGCCTTGTTGTTAGCAGTAGGAGGCTGGTCTGGCGGAGGTGCCTGGTTGTTAGCAGTGGGAGGCTGGTCTGGGAGAGGTGCCTTGTTGTTAGCAGTGGGAGGCTGGTCTGGGAGAGGTGCCTTGTTGTTAGCAGTAGGAGGCTGGTCTGGGAGAGGTGCCTTGTTGTTAGCAGTAGGAGGCTGGTCTGGCGGAGGTGCCTGGTTGTTAGCAGTGGGAGGCTGGTCTGGGGGAGGTGTCTGGTTGTTAGCAGTGGGAGGCTGGTCTGGGAGAGGTGCCTTGTTGTTAGCAGTAGGAGGCTGGTCTGGCGGAGGTGCCTGGTTGTTAGCAGTGGGAGGCTGGTCTGGCGGAGGTGTCTGGTTGTTAGCAGTGGGAGGCTGGTCTGGGGGAGGTGTCTGGTTGTTAGCAGTGGGAGGCTGATCTGTGAGAGGTGCCTGGTTGTTAGCCGTGGGAGGCTGGTCTGGGGGAGGGGCCTGGTTGTTAGCAGTGGAAGGCTGGTCTGGGGGAGGGGCCTGGTTGTTAGCAGTGGAAGGCCGGTCTGGGGGAGGGGCCTTGTTAGCAGTGGGAGGCTGGTCTGGGGGAGGGGCCTTGTTAGCAGTGGGAGGCTGGTCTGGGAGAGGTGTCTGGTTGTTAGCAGTGGGAGGCTGGTCTGGGGAAGGTGCCTCGTTGTAAGCAGTGGGAGGCTGGTCTTGGGGAGGTGCCTCGTTGTTAGCAGTGGGAGGCTGGTCTGGTGGAGGTGTCTGGTTGTTAGCAGTGGGAGGCTGGTCTGGGGGAGGTGCCTGGTTGTTAGCAGTGTGAGACTGGTCTGGGAGAGGTGCCTGGTTGTTAGCAGTGGGAGGCTGGTCTGGGGAAGGTGCCTCGTTGTTAGCAGTGGGAGGCTGGTCTGGCGGAGGTGTCTGGTTGTTAGCAGTGGGAGGCTGGTCTTGGGGAGGTGCCTCGTTGTTAGCAGTGGGAGGCTGGTCTGGCGGAGGTGTCTGGTTGTTAGCAGTGGGAGGCTGGTCTGGGAAGGTTCCTGGTTGTTAGCAGTGGGAGGCTGGTCTGGGGAAGGTGTCTGGTTGTTAGCAGTGGGAGGCTGGTCTGGGGGAGGTGTCTGGTTGTTAGCAGTGGGAGGCTGGTCTGGGGGAGGTGTCTGGTTGTTAGCAGTGGGAGGCTGGTCTGGGGGAGGTGTCTGGTTTTTAGGTGGAGGAGCTCGTCTGGGAGAGGTGCCTTATTAGCAGTGGGAGGCTGGTCTTGGGGAGGTGCCTGGTTGTTAGCAGTAGGAGGCTGGTCTGGTGGAGGTGTCTGGTTGTTAGCAGTGGGAGGCTGGTCTGGGGGAGGTGCCTGGTTGTTAGCAGTGTGAGACTGGTCTGGGAGAGGTGCCTGGTTGTTAGCAGTGGGAGGCTGGTCTGGGAAGGTTCCTGGTTGTTAGCAGTGGGAGGCTGGTCTGGGGGAGGTGTCTGGTTGTTAGCAGTGGGAGGCTGGTCTGGGGGAGGTGTCTGGTTGTTAGCAGTGGGAGGCTGGTCTGGGGGAGGTGTCTGGTTGTTAGCAGTGGGAGGCTGGTCTGGGGGAGGTGTCTGGTTGTTAGGTGGAGGAGCTCGTCTGGGAGAGGTGCCTTATTAGCAGTGGGAGGCTGGTCTGGGGGAGGTGCCTGGTTGTTAGCAGTGTGAGACTGGTCTGCCGAAGGTGCCTGGTTGTTAGCTGGGAGAGGTGTCTTGTTAGCAGTAGAAGGCTGGTCTGGGGGAGGTGCCTCGTTGTTAGCAGTAGGAGGCTGGTCTGGGGGAGGTGCCTGGTTGTTAGCAGTATTAGGTTGGTCTGGGTAAAGTGCCTGGTTGTTAGGTGGAGGAGCTAGTCTGGGGAAGGTGCCTTGTTGTTAGCAGTAGGAGGCTGGTCTGGCGGAGGTGCCTTGTTAGCAGTGGGAGGCTGGTCTGGCGGAGGTGCCTGGTTGTTAGCAGTAGGAGGCTGGTCTGGCGGAGGTGTCTGGTTGTTAGCAGTAGGAGGTTGGTCTGGGAGAGGTGCCTTGTTGTTAGCAGTGGGAGGCTGGTCTGGGGAAGGTGCCTGGTTGTTAGCAGTGGGAGGCTGGTCTGGGAGAGGTGCCTTGTTGTTAGCAGTGGGAGGCTGGTCTGGGGGAGGGGCCTTGTTAGCAGTGGGAGGCTGGTCTGGCGGAGGTGCCTGGTTGTTAGCAGTAGGAGGCTGGTCTGGCGGAGGTGTCTGGTTGTTAGCAGTAGGAGGTTGGTCTGGGAGAGGTGCCTTGTTGTTAGCAGTAGGAGGCTGGTCTGGCGGAGGTGTCTGGTTGTTAGCAGTAGGAGGTTGGTCTGGGAGAGGTGCCTGGTTGTTAGCAGTGGGAGGCTGGTCTGGCGGAGGTGCCTGGTTGTTAGCAGTGGGAGGCTGGTCTGGCGGAGGTGCCTGGTTGTTAGCAGTGGGAGGCTGGTCTGGGGGAGGTGTCTGGTTGTTAGCAGTGGGAGGCTGGTCTGGGGAAGGTGCCTGGTTGTTAGCAGTGGGAGGCTGGTCTGGCGGAGGTGTCTGGTTGTTAGCAGTAGGAGGCTGGTCTGGCGGAGGTGCCTTGTTGTTAGCAGTAGGAGGCTGGTCTGGCGGAGGTGCCTGGTTGTTAGCAGTGGGAGGCTGGTCTGGGAGAGGTGCCTTGTTGTTAGCAGTGGGAGGCTGGTCTGGGAGAGGTGCCTTGTTGTTAGCAGTAGGAGGCTGGTCTGGGAGAGGTGCCTTGTTGTTAGCAGTAGGAGGCTGGTCTGGCGGAGGTGCCTGGTTGTTAGCAGTGGGAGGCTGGTCTGGGGGAGGTGTCTGGTTGTTAGCAGTGGGAGGCTGGTCTGGGAGAGGTGCCTTGTTGTTAGCAGTAGGAGGCTGGTCTGGCGGAGGTGCCTGGTTGTTAGCAGTGGGAGGCTGGTCTGGCGGAGGTGTCTGGTTGTTAGCAGTGGGAGGCTGGTCTGGGGGAGGTGTCTGGTTGTTAGCAGTGGGAGGCTGATCTGTGAGAGGTGCCTGGTTGTTAGCCGTGGGAGGCTGGTCTGGGGGAGGGGCCTGGTTGTTAGCAGTGGAAGGCTGGTCTGGGGGAGGGGCCTGGTTGTTAGCAGTGGAAGGCCGGTCTGGGGGAGGGGCCTTGTTAGCAGTGGGAGGCTGGTCTGGGGGAGGGGCCTTGTTAGCAGTGGGAGGCTGGTCTGGGAGAGGTGTCTGGTTGTTAGCAGTGGGAGGCTGGTCTGGGGAAGGTGCCTCGTTGTAAGCAGTGGGAGGCTGGTCTTGGGGAGGTGCCTCGTTGTTAGCAGTGGGAGGCTGGTCTGGTGGAGGTGTCTGGTTGTTAGCAGTGGGAGGCTGGTCTGGGGGAGGTGCCTGGTTGTTAGCAGTGTGAGACTGGTCTGGGAGAGGTGCCTGGTTGTTAGCAGTGGGAGGCTGGTCTGGGGAAGGTGCCTCGTTGTTAGCAGTGGGAGGCTGGTCTGGCGGAGGTGTCTGGTTGTTAGCAGTGGGAGGCTGGTCTTGGGGAGGTGCCTCGTTGTTAGCAGTGGGAGGCTGGTCTGGCGGAGGTGTCTGGTTGTTAGCAGTGGGAGGCTGGTCTGGGAAGGTTCCTGGTTGTTAGCAGTGGGAGGCTGGTCTGGGGAAGGTGTCTGGTTGTTAGCAGTGGGAGGCTGGTCTGGGGGAGGTGTCTGGTTGTTAGCAGTGGGAGGCTGGTCTGGGGGAGGTGTCTGGTTGTTAGCAGTGGGAGGCTGGTCTGGGGGAGGTGTCTGGTTGTTAGGTGGAGGAGCTCGTCTGGGAGAGGTGCCTTATTAGCAGTGGGAGGCTGGTCTTGGGGAGGTGCCTGGTTGTTAGCAGTAGGAGGCTGGTCTGGTGGAGGTGTCTGGTTGTTAGCAGTGGGAGGCTGGTCTGGGGGAGGTGCCTGGTTGTTAGCAGTGTGAGACTGGTCTGGGAGAGGTGCCTGGTTGTTAGCAGTGGGAGGCTGGTCTGGGTAGGTTCCTGGTTGTTAGCAGTGGGAGGCTGGTCTGGGGGAGGTGTCTGGTTGTTAGCAGTGGGAGGCTGGTCTGGGGGAGGTGTCTGGTTGTTAGCAGTGGGAGGCTGGTCTGGGGGAGGTGTCTGGTTGTTAGCAGTGGGAGGCTGGTCTGGGGGAGGTGTCTGGTTGTTAGGTGGAGGAGCTCGTCTGGGAGAGGTGCCTTATTAGCAGTGGGAGGCTGGTCTGGGGGAGGTGCCTGGTTGTTAGCAGTGTGAGACTGGTCTGCCGAAGGTGCCTGGTTGTTAGCTGGGAGAGGTGTCTTGTTAGCAGTAGAAGGCTGGTCTGGGGGAGGTGCCTCGTTGTTAGCAGTAGGAGGCTGGTCTGGGGGAGGTGCCTGGTTGTTAGCAGTATTAGGCTGGTCTGGGTAAAGTGCCTGGTTGTTAGGTGGAGGAGCTAGTCTGGGGAAGGTGCCTTGTTGTTAGCAGTAGGAGGCTGGTCTGGCGGAGGTGCCTTGTTAGCAGTGGGAGGCTGGTCTGGCGGAGGTGCCTGGTTGTTAGCAGTAGGAGGCTGGTCTGGCGGAGGTGTCTGGTTGTTAGCAGTAGGAGGTTGGTCTGGGAGAGGTGCCTTGTTGTTAGCAGTGGGAGGCTGGTCTGGGGAAGGTGCCTGGTTGTTAGCAGTGGGAGGCTGGTCTGGGAGAGGTGCCTTGTTGTTAGCAGTGGGAGGCTGGTCTGGGGGAGGGGCCTTGTTAGCAGTGGGAGGCTGGTCTGGCGGAGGTGCCTGGTTGTTAGCAGTAGGAGGCTGGTCTGGCGGAGGTGTCTGGTTGTTAGCAGTAGGAGGTTGGTCTGGGAGAGGTGCCTTGTTGTTAGCAGTAGGAGGCTGGTCTGGCGGAGGTGTCTGGTTGTTAGCAGTAGGAGGTTGGTCTGGGAGAGGTGCCTGGTTGTTAGCAGTGGGAGGCTGGTCTGGCGGAGGTGCCTGGTTGTTAGCAGTGGGAGGCTGGTCTGGCGGAGGTGCCTGGTTGTTAGCAGTGGGAGGCTGGTCTGGGGGAGGTGTCTGGTTGTTAGCAGTGGGAGGCTGGTCTGGGGAAGGTGCCTGGTTGTTAGCAGTGGGAGGCTGGTCTGGCGGAGGTGTCTGGTTGTTAGCAGTAGGAGGCTGGTCTGGCGGAGGTGCCTTGTTGTTAGCAGTAGGAGGCTGGTCTGGCGGAGGTGCCTGGTTGTTAGCAGTGGGAGGCTGGTCTGGGAGAGGTGCCTTGTTGTTAGCAGTGGGAGGCTGGTCTGGGAGAGGTGCCTTGTTGTTAGCAGTAGGAGGCTGGTCTGGGAGAGGTGCCTTGTTGTTAGCAGTAGGAGGCTGGTCTGGCGGAGGTGCCTGGTTGTTAGCAGTGGGAGGCTGGTCTGGGGGAGGTGTCTGGTTGTTAGCAGTGGGAGGCTGGTCTGGGAGAGGTGCCTAGTTGTTAGCAGTAGGAGGCTGGTCTGGCGGAGGTGCCTGGTTGTTAGCAGTGGGAGGCTGGTCTGGCGGAGGTGTCTGGTTGTTAGCAGTGGGAGGCTGGTCTGGGGGAGGTGTCTGGTTGTTAGCAGTGGGAGGCTGATCTGTGAGAGGTGCCTGGTTGTTAGCAGTGGGAGGCTGGTCTGGCGGAGGTGCCTGGTTGTTAGCAGTGGGAGGCTGGTCTGGGAGAGGTGCCTTGTTGTTAGCAGTAGGAGGCTGGTCTGGCGGAGGTGCCTGGTTGTTAGCAGTAGGAGGCTGGTCTGGCGGAGGTGCCTTGTTGTTAGCAGTGGGAGGCTGGTCTGGCGGAGGTGCCTGGTTGTTAGCAGTAGGAGGCTGGTCTGGCGGAGGTGCCTTGTTGTTAGCAGTGGGAGGCTGGTCTGGCGGAGGTGCCTGGTTGTTAGCAGTGGGAGGCTGGTCTGGCGGAGGTGCCTGGTTGTTAGCAGTGGGAGGCTGGTCTGGCGGAGGTGTCTGGTTGTTAGCAGTGGGAGGCTGGTCTGGGAGAGGTGCCTTGTTGTTAGCAGTAGGAGGCTGGTCTGGCGGAGGTGCCTGGTTGTTAGCAGTAGGAGGCTGGTCTGGCGGAGGTGCCTGGTTGTTAGCAGTGGGAGGCTGGTCTGGCGGAGGTGCCTGGTTGTTAGCAGTGGGAGGCTGGTCTGGGGGAGAGGTGCCTTGTTGTTAGCAGTAGGAGGCTGGTCTGGGGAAGGTGCCTGGTTGTTAGCAGTGGAGAGGTGTCTTGTTAGCAGTGGGAGGGTGGTCTGGGGAAGGTGCCTTTCATGTTAGCTGGGAGAGGTGTCTTGTTAGCAGTAGAAGGCTGGTCTGGGGAAGGTGCCTTGTTGTTAGCAGTAGGAGGCTGGTCTGGGGAAGGTGCCTGGTTGTTAGCTGGGAGAGGTGTCTTGTTAGCAGTGGGAGGGTGGTCTGGGGAAGGTGCCTTTCATGTTAGCTGGGAGAGGTGTCTTGTTAGCAGTGGAAAGCTGGTCTGGGGAAGGTGCCTGGTTGTTAGCTGGGAGAGGTGTCTTGTTAGCAGTGGAAGGCTGGTCTGGGAGAGGTGCCTGGTTGTTAGCAGTGGGAGGCTGGTCTGGGGGAGGTGTCTGGTTGTTAGCAGTGGGAGGCTGGTCTGGGGGAGGTGTCTGGTTGTTAGCAGTGGAAGGCTGGTCTGGGAGAGGTGCCTGGTTGTTATTTTGGGAGTGTGTGGGGGAGGTGAGGTGGGGGAGAGGTGCCTGGTTGTTAGCAGTAGGAGGCTGGTCTGGCGGAGGTGCCTGGTTGTTAGCAGTAGGAGGCTGGTCTGGGAGAGGTGCCTTGTTGTTAGCAGTAGGAGGCTGGTCTGGCGGAGGTGCCTGGTTGTTAGCAGTAGGAGGCTGGTCTGGGGAAGGTGCCTGGTTGTTAGCAGTGGAGAGGTGTCTTGTTAGCAGTGGGAGGGTGGTCTGGGGAAGGTGCCTTTCATGTTAGCTGGGAGAGGTGTCTTGTTAGCAGTAGAAGGCTGGTCTGGGGAAGGTGCCTTGTTGTTAGCAGTAGGAGGCTGGTCTGGGGAAGGTGCCTGGTTGTTAGCTGGGAGAGGTGTCTTGTTAGCAGTGGGAGGGTGGTCTGGGGAAGGTGCCTTTCATGTTAGCTGGGAGAGGTGTCTTGTTAGCAGTGGAAAGCTGGTCTGGGGAAGGTGCCTGGTTGTTAGCTGGGAGAGGTGTCTTGTTAGCAGTGGAAGGCTGGTCTGGGAGAGGTGCCTGGTTGTTAGCAGTGGGAGGCTGGTCTGGGGGAGGTGTCTGGTTGTTAGCAGTGGGAGGCTGGTCTGGGGGAGGTGTCTGGTTGTTAGCAGTGGAAGGCTGGTCTGGGAGAGGTGCCTGGTTGTTATTTTGGGAGTGTGTGGGGGAGGTGAGGTGGGGGAGAGGTGCCTGGTTGTTATTATGGAAGTGTGTGTTGGGGGGGTGGGGGTGGGGGAGAGGTGCCTGGTTGATATTTTGGGAGTGTGTGTGGGAGGGGGAGGGGATGTGTGGGAGAGGTGCCTGGTTGTTATTTTGGAAGTGTGTGTTGGAGGGGGGAAGGGTGGGGGTGGGTGAGTGCTGATCTAGGGGAGGTGCCTGGTTGATAGCTCTTAGGACTCGTGTACCAAAAGGGGGTTGGCGCCCTCAAATATGAATGAAATGTTTGCCGACCCCAATCCAATGTTATGTAACGATTTTACACCGTAATGATACTGGTTATTACTGTTTACAAACCAAACTTACAACATGTTTAAAGCGTGGTTTTGGATTTTAAATATAATTACAGTGACACTGTTTCGTCTTTAGATATCAAAATTTGAAAGTCTCTGTATCTCACGTTGCCTTTTAGATATCAATATAATCTCTGTCTTCCAGATACCATGGTTTGAGTATTAACCAGAACATTGCTGATGCAATATGAAATATTAACTGCCTCATTCACTCCAGAAACAAGCACAATACACAAGCAACGACTGTGGCTTACCCCGGGCCTTGATAAAGATCCTCATTCTCAAGCATTAGTTATAACGATTTATATGAGTGAGTGAGTATGGTTTTACGCCGATTTTAGCAATATTCCAGCAATATCACGGCGGGGGACACCAGAAATGGGCTTCACACATTGTACGCATGTCGGGAATCGAACCCGGGTCTTCGGCGTGGCGAGCGAACGCTTTAACCACTAGGCTACCCGACCGCCCCCGATTTATATGAAGATCGGTTTTGAATTATTATTGATAATTGGCACGGAGTTCGTCCGTCCGGTTCTCGAAGGGGACACATTTTCTCAAAAACTAAGTCTGTGAAATGAAATTTTGCACACTGGTGTTACTGGTCATGATCTCAAATGAGTTGAGATGTCGTAAATTCAATTTTAACAAAGCTATGGCCCTTGCTCCGTGATTTTCAACTTAGCGCATACTGCGTGAAAAGGGGACAAGTTTTCTCAGAAACTACTGAAGTTACATACATGAAACTTTGCATGCTTATCTAAGAGATACTTGTCAAGACTGAGTTCGTAAATTGATCCCGTCAATAAATATTTTACAGGGTTATGGCCCTTGATCCATGTTATTTTACTTTGTGCATAGTGTGTGCAATTGGAACAAGTTTTCTCGGTCTAGTGAAGCTACATGAATCAAAGTTTGCATACTTATCTAAGAGATACTTGTCAAGACTGAGTTCGTAAATTGGTCGCGTCCATTAATTGTTTACAGAGTTACGGCCTTTGATCCATGTTATTTGTGGAAGGTTTTTTTTTCTCAGAAACAACTAAAGTGACGTAATCTAAAAAATACTTATCAAGACTGAGTTAGTATAGAGAAAGGGCCTGTTGTGTGTATTAATTTCACATTTAATCATTTTTTACTGATGACAAAAAAACAAAAACAGCCCTATCTCTTCTTAAGGCTTTACTTAAGGGCTCTTTTTATAGTATATGTTCACTACTATATGAACAAACTTCTAATGTGCCTCATGGCGGGGGATAGTGATAATGCTGTTTTCTTGTTTAATGTCCACTTAATGTATTGAAACGTTTTATGTCCACTTAATGTATTGAAACGTACATCATTAGTTTGATTAATACAGAAATAAATGATATGCAAATTCAGCCATGCAATATAGGCGTATGGTAGTGTATTCTTAACTACAATAAACTACGGTTATAACGATCTCTAAGGGACTACTAATTTTAGTTTTTTATAACCGTAGTTCGTTATATGCGTAGTTTACTGTAATTTGATTTAGGGGGGTGGGGGGTTATATGAACAGTTTGTTGGCAGTGGCGAAAAAAAGGAATGGTTTTTTTTCTCACAAATGGTTCTCTTTAAGACATGTGACAGGCGCACGTCCAGTTGTGGTACTGTATTCCAAAGCTCTGGATGGAGCACACTATAGATCCACTCCTGTCTCGAAGTGAACAAAAATGATTGGCTGACACCAGAGACCGTATAATAATTTATTATAAGGTCTCTGTTGACACGTTTTCTTTGTTTGTGTGTTGTTTAACGCCGCCCTCGGCACCATTCCTGCTATATGACCGTGATCTGTAAATAATCAAATCTGGACCCAGTAATTGACATCATGAGCATCGATCTTCGCAATTGGGATCCCATGACAATCATACACTAAGTCTGCGAGTCTGACCACCCCGTTAGTTACCTCTTTTGACAAGCATAGGTTGCTGAAATGCGACGTGCACCCATTACACCACACTCTGTCGGCTCTTAGTCCGCAATTGCAGATGATCTTGTTCCACAAGAGACATCACAGAATTAAATTTAGCTTCACCTCACCATTTGAAGTCTCATTTTCCAAGTTAATACATTAAAGCGGCAGCTGTATACAATCAAAGTAGGCGCGTAAGAATCGCGTCTCGTTATATGTGCGTGTTTGTTTACCGCTGCGCTCAGCAATATTAAATTACAGCTATATGATGGCGGCATGTAAAATCTGATGAATGACGCCTTCGTGTTGACTTGGTTGGTGAATGTCATCAAATCCCAGTTGCGTAGATTGATGCTCGTGTTGTAAATCACTGGATTGTCAGGTCCAAACTCGATTTTTTACAGATCGGAATATAGCTGAGTGTGGCGTTTAACAACAAACAAATATGAAACTTTCTTGGCCCAAATCCCGAGTGCATCGTTCAAACATGCCATTAGCTCAAACGCTTTTCTCGTGCAGATCATGCTCTCATAGCAAAGGTCGCACCATAAGGTTAACACTGACAAATGTAAAAGCCTCGGACACAATATTACTCATATATATTGTAAACATTTTGCAAACCTTAAAATGTATTGTGAACAAAAACAACTTACTCAAAGACCGCATCCTCGGTCCAGAGGATGGAGCGTCTGCCCGCATACTTCCTCACTGACCAACTGGTTCGTAGTCATTTTAGTGGCGCTTCATTCAATTGATCGTTCAAAGGTTTTATAGTAAGTGAGTATGGTTTTACGCCGCTTTTAGCAATATTCCAGCAATATCACGGCGCAAAGGTTTTATAATAATAATGATCCCAGCCTGACGTACTGGGGTCGGTGAGTGAATGAGTTTTTACAGTATTTGCAACAACGAAGTACAGTAAACATGGGCTTCACTACCTCCTTTGACGATGTAAATGTACTCTGAATGCAATCTCATCAAAATAAGATCTTCTACTCTGATATAATACCTCTCTTCATGGAGATGTGATTTGAATGATACTGACTGGAAATGCCAGGGGCGGATCCTGGATTCAAATAAGGAGGGTTCCACTTGGGCCATTTGTAATTTCAATTTTACTTTAACAACCAAATCAACATGTTGTCGTGATAGGTAATGTGGATACATCATGTCATCAGATGTAACCCCTCACCCCACCCCCCAATGGGTTCCAGCTATTTGGTAATCCCAGCAAATTTGTCAACAAGTTCTAATTTCATATTGTATATCAATTTAATATTCATTGATGACCCTAATTCTCGGTTTCAAACACAGTTTTATTTACAAAGTCTAGAACAAAACCCTGTGCAAACTTTTAGCATCCTATCAAAAGAGGGAGCTGGGATCTTGGGCCATTATGTCCGCTTTCTGAACAGCCCAATTTCATCACTATACCACTTTGATGCAGAAATTGTAATCTTAAAAAGTAAGCTGGCACAGAACAAACCGTGCTTGGTACATGGCACTAAAAAACCACAAGGTGTATACAATATCCAAGACACATATCAATGTAGCCCTGCCTTTATTATCCACTCAGAACTGCCCATTTACATTGGCTTTTGGGATCAGGTGGTCAGACTCGCTGGATTGTCTGGTCACGACTTGATCATTTGCAGACCACCAACATATAGCTGGAATATTGCAGTGCAGCGTTGAACAAAAAAACCCAAAACAACAAACAAACAAACATTTGCTTTCTAGATACAGAAATCAAATACTCTGGATGCTTCTTGTTCATATGAAGAATTAAGAAACCTCCATGATGTTGGCTGATTACCAAGTTTCCCTGATGTGAACACCTATGGAGGGTTTGTCAGATCTTGATGGAGAGAGGTAAAATGTCAACTTTCAAAGAGAAGGTATTTACATTTTGAGTGATCTTCCAATACCTTATTCTGCAGATCATAGTTTAAGGTCAGCTGGCTCAAGAACATAAAACTGTCGTCAGAGTACAGAGTCATATGTAAACAGAGATACATGACCTCCCTAACAATGTGATGGACACATCCCATAACAGGATTTGTGACCTGTACAGAGCATCAGTTTGGATAGAGTCATAGTACATAATGGAATGAAAAAGTGTGGCATTATCGTTTACACAGTTTATATCCCCTAACATCAGACCCAGTACTAAATGCTTCAGACTAAAATTTTGTCCCAGAGTGAGTGAGTATGGTTTTATGCCAATTTTAGCAATATTCCAGCAATATCACGGCGGGGGACACCAGAAATGGGCTTCACACATTGTACCCATGTCGGGAATTGAATTCGGGTCTTCGGCGTGACGAGTTTTAACCACTAGACTACCCGACCACCCCTTAGTCCCAGAAATATAGTCATCTATTTTAAAATATATTTCTAAAAAAAAAAAAAGTAAAATCAAAATGGAACCCAGAACAAGGCTTAATTTTGGACTTGCTATATTCAACTTAGACTTTAGATGGATTCAATTTTGATTTATTCTATAGGGCTTGGAGACAGACTATAAATGCTTGTGAGAGGCGACTACTGAGGATTGGGTGGTCATAATATGTGGAACCACGCTAATCCTGGCCTGCAGTGAGTGAGTTGGGTTGAATCATATGTTGCTTTTAACTATTTCAGTTACATCATGGTATGGGAGTTCAATATGGGAGGAAAGCCGGAAGCAATGCAGGTCTCGGATAATTACCACTTTGGTAAAACCCAAGATCACAGGTTTGTTGATGACAAACCAAGAAACATAATAGGGGCAAACCAGGATTCGAACTCGAACAGTGTGATTCTGGAGTGCCCAAGGGTTGTAACTCTAATCATATAACGACTCTTGTCAAAAACATACTGTTTATTATCAATTCATATATTTACACTTTTTTTGGTATATACAGAATAAATACAATCACAATTGTACTTTGCTACTGAAATGTATGAACATGTGATGTGATTCTAATTCAACGTACACTTGACATATCAGAATCGGTTCTCTGATTCATGGAAAAATGTCCCCATCAAAAGTGGAGTAGTCATAGTTTTAATATACAATGACATAATGTACACTGGTATAAGTGAGTGAGTGAGTATGGTTTTACGCTGCTTTTAGCAATATTCCGGGGACACCGGAAAATGGGCTTCACACATTGTACCCATGTCGGGAATCGAACCCGGGTCTTAGGCGTAACAAGCCAACGCTTTAACCATGTAAACCACTAGGCTACCCCACCGCCCCTATACTGGTATAAACATTAGACACTAACTTTGTGATATTTATTTGGATTTCATATCTGTAGACTCTTTGGTGATATTTTCTTCCCACAGTTCGGAAGTAAAGATCCCCCACATAGAGTAACATTTCAGTTGGTAATACCTTCACCATCCAACATTAGTCCTAACTTGTCAAAGGCACCAACATGCATGGAAACGTTTCAATTAATATTGTTAGATACATTGTACAAATTCACAATATAAAGTTTCATAAATGACTTGAAAATTACTTGGGAAACAAATGTTCAACATGAAATGTTTGATGTATTATATCATAGTGATGTTCACACAAAATATGAACTAGACCATGTACAAGTGAATGAATGAGTGAGTATGGTTTTACGCCGCTTTTAGCAATATTTGGGCAATATCACGGCGGGGGACACCAGAAATGGGCCCTCCACATATTGTACCCATGTCGGGAATCGAACCTGGGTCTTCTGCGTGACAAGCGAACGCTTTAACCACTAGGCTACATGACCGCCCCCAAATACATCCAAGAGCTTATCAGTGATAATATAACAATGTCCAAAAATCTAACTGCACAACCAGCTGACAACCAGCTGACAACAAAACGATACCCCTTTGCAGAAAGGACCACAAAATATATCATGAAGACAGCCCTCACAAATTTGTATTTTTCATTCGCCAAGAACAAACTTGAAATGTGATGGTTCGAATACATTTGTATAGAAATAAATGTCAGATTTGTAGCACACACACCAGATGGTTGTCCAGGAGATACACAGCAAGTCACAGAGGTTGTTTTCATTTTCTTTACCTCCATATTAATAAGAAACAAATAAACAACAGAAAATAAATCCATTTGACATTGGACAGAAAAGAAACAAAACCACCTCACCTCGCACAGGTGAAACGGTATGCGATAATCACAAGTGAGAAGAAATGTATATAAACACATTTGGGAAAAAATTATGAAATCACTGATTAATAAAAAGCACCATACCATTTGACATGTATGAAAGAAAAAAAATCATGTCAGATCAATGTTTGTTTTCGCTAATCTTCTGCATAATGCATATAATGTTGGAGATGGCTAAATAAAGTGACAAATATTACACTTCAAAGAAAAACAAAATAACTGCTTAAATTATATTTCAAGGTCTTGATTTAACCCTTCTTCCTTTCACACATTGCGTCTTTAGCCTGATAGATAGGATCAGGGAGATCACATTTATTGAATAAATCATGTGCAAGAAGGGTAGGATCATCAGATCATCATTCTCCAGTGAAACATCTTCACTAAGCATTGAAGCTGCCTAATAGTGTGTGCATGTGGCAAGATATTAAATAAATCCTCTTGATCCTTAAGATCCAATTTGAAACCTAAATACAGACTTAGCCCCAAGGTATAGCAGCAGGTAGTACTGATTGAGGGCGAACTTGTGCCACAGAAAGGCCTATTTGCACCCATCCTGTCTTCTTGCAACAGTTACCTCCCTTAGCATGCTTAGCGATTCCAAGAATGAGTTATCTCCTCTTGGTTCCTCCAAATCCTGAGGCTGTCCTGGTTCCAGAGCTACTGCTGCCCGAGGAGTACCCCCCAAAGGATCCCCCAGAGGATCTCCCGGTGGAGTACCCACCACCCCCACCCCAACCACTACCCAAACCACTGCCACCCCCACCCCACATGCCACCTCCATTCCCCCAGAACGACCCTGTGTTGTGGTGACGGTGATGTGCGTAGCCACGGTTGCCATAGCCACTGTTGCTGCTGCCGAACAGGTACCCCAGTAACCCGCCTGCTCCCATGCCTGTCCAGAAACCTCCGCCAGTTCCAGTTCCAGTTCCAGTTCCTGTGTTGGTAGAAGTCCCTGCATACGCTCCTGTGTTGGCATATGCTCCTGTGTTAGCATATCCGCCAGTGTTAGGGTAGCCGCCTGTGTTGGCATATCCGCCTGTGTTGCCTGTGTTAGCATAGTCTGTGAGAAAATAGGGTAAAACATACCATGAATACACAAACGAGAAGATGTAAAATAGGCTTGTCAGCGTATTCCCAATGTATTCCTAAAGAACTATTTCTACCTATTTTATGGAGACGCAAATTTCTCAGAAATGAAGCAATGAAGTTTACCTAACATTAACATCTCATCAACAACATCAGAAAGTCAGCATCCTAAAACATATCTTACTAACACAAAATCATTAAAATGCAATGGCATCCTACTATTAATGCTATCTTAGTCAATGCTCTTGATTCAACTCACCTGATCCTGGTGTAAACTCAGGTTTGAACCCTGGGGGTGGCGCCTGGTTGTTGTCGTTGCGACTGTAGGGTGGAGGTTGGTCTGGGCGGGGTCCTGCAGTATTGGTCGGAGGAGCTAGACACATCTTGTAGATGATATAGATGACAAATCCAGCTGCAACTAGGGCAATAACGCCTCCGAACGATGTGCTTGTTGTCTTGTGGCTGCTGAGTAAACACAAAGAGCAACTTGAAACATAGCAAACTTGTTTACTCCATTTAGGCAAATTATTGGTGAGTGCGAAATTGGGTCCTACGGAAGCGCCCATTAAATATCCAACACTCCACCAAATTCCAATAAATATATATTCATTCCAACCATAATTCTGCATGCAATCAGTCAAATGTTGTGGTTGATAGATACATTTCTTAAACAGATCTTTCTCTTTTGTTTTGTGTATTGAGCTCAGTTAAGGAAACTACCCTGAAATAAGCCCCAACAACATTATGATCTGCTTTCTTCCGCCCTCTTATTCAACCCCAAAGTCTGGAACAAGGAATTAAACTGAGCTGAAAACTTGAGGAGGTGGAGGAGGTGAAATGGGATTTAACATCTCGTTTGAGATTACTGTGTGTGTCTATGTCTGTATCTCTGTTCTGTTTCCGGACTAATGCCAGTTTAATAATGCTAGCCCACACAGCATAACCCTGTTAAGAGCCAACTTTCCAAAATAACAATAAGTATTTAGATATGATCTTACAACACCAAAGCCCCATAATACGATCAGCCTACACAACAATACAATGTGATTCCCAAACTTAGCTGCTAATGTTTTAGCTTAGATTCTTTCTTTCTTTTCTTTCTTTGTTTGCTTGTTGTTTAACGCCACACTCAGCAATATTCCAGCTATATGATGGCGGTCTGTAAATAATCGAGTCTGGACCAGACAATCCAGTGATTGATATCATGGGCATCGATCCAGGCAATTGGGACCGATGACATGCATCAACCAAGTCAGTGAGCCTGACCACCCGATCCCGTTAGTCGCCTTTTACAACAAGCACAGTCACCTTTTGCGGCAAGCATGGGTTGCTGAAGACCTATTCTACCCTGGATCTTCACGGGTCCGCTTAGATTCTGTTTCAACTTGATGGGACAGATGAAACTCTATACAGACTTTGTAACAGTCTTCATAAAAGAGACGCGTTCACAGCAGGCGGTGTAAGGCTAAACAATGATCCTTTTAACATCGTTTTGTATGATGCAGCCAGGGATTGAACCACTGAACGTCCCAGCAGACACTCTGTGGACAATGTGAGGATGTGTAGACATGGAAAGTCTCAGTGTCTCCTACCTGTAGTAGCTGGAGCTGCGGTCATGGTAGTCGTCACCGTAGTAGTTGTGCTGGTTGCCATGGTTGTGTTTCTGCTGATGTCCTTCCTTTGTAAGGTCTATGGTGTACTCCAACTATAATGGAACAAAATTGACTGTGCTAAATATCGGACACTTAAACTATGCTTTACAATAGATCAGAGAGCAAAACTGTGCCATATATCCTCATCAGAAACTACAACTATGATACACATTGGAAACCAAAAAATATGTAAAGACGTTTAACTATATTTGTTTATTATTTCTTTGTTGTTTAACAAGACACTCAGCAATATTCCAGCTAGCTAAATGACGACAGTCTGTATATCATGGTATATAATCGAGTCTGGACAAGCAATCCAGTGATTGATAACATCATGAGCAACAATCTATACAATCAATTGAGAGTGAGTTAGTTTGGTTTTACGCCGCTTTTAGCAATATTCCAGCAATATCACGGCGGGGGACACCAGAAATGGGCTTCACACAATGTACCCATGTCGGGATTCGAACCCGGGTCTTCGGCGTGACGAGCGAACGCTTAAACCACTAGGCTATCCGACCGCCCCCAATCAATTGAGAAGCAATGTTTATTATTTAACACACACTCAGTAATATTCGATCTATATGACGGCAGTAAATATTCAAGTCTGGACCAGACAATCCATTGATTGATATCATGAGCTTCGATCTCACAAATGGGATACAAAGTTGATCATTTAATGCCACATACTGCAATATTCCACAATATGATGGCTCCCTGTAAATAATACAATTGGGACCAGACAATCCATATTGTGTGCTACACAATCCATGTTTTTGCAGTACGATGACATGCAATCAACCTTGTCACGGAGTATGAGCGTGCATGTGCATGTGCACGTGTGTGCTGCTTGTACTAGACCAGACTTGACGGATGACAAAGTAGACACAATTTATCAGTGTTTATGGATAACAACTCCTTTATTTACTGAAAAGGCAACATTTCGGTTTAGATCCTTATACTGTTGTCAAACAAGGCCTTGCTTGTCAACCGTATAAGGATCTATACCATAATGTCATCTCTACAGTAAATAAAGAAGTTGTTATTCATATATTGTGTCTACTTTGTCATCCGTCAACTTCTAAGTAATGCCTTTCAAACAATTCAATTATAATGAACTTCCTCGTTTATGCAGTTCCATTAAAATTGATATGATAGATATATGATGTCAGAAAGGATTGAGTAGTCAGTAATTAATCAGTACAATGAACAAAAATCATGCCAGAGGTCAAATTATCTCTTACCCCACAGGATCCCCTGAGGACATAGGGGTCATCGGGATAGTCATACCCCTCACAGGTCACCTCGACCTGGCCAAACCGATAGGCATTGTCCATATCAGTCTTGCACTCCCACTACAAATAAACAAAAATATTCTGTAATGTCAAGTCTTCATAATCAATAACAGGACAAATCTACATGAACACAAACTGCCACTGCCATGGCTCATTGCAAAGTCTTATAACAAAAATATAGAACAGATTTTGAGGTTAGGTAATTGGAATCATGTATACCAGTACATATTTTATGTATTTTACAGAGCTCCAGATAAGTTTTTGGGGTTGTGGGTATTTTACCCATGCATTTTAAAATCATTGGGTATCAGTAATTCTATCTGGGTATCAAATTTCTGTTACCCACTAGTTTTTACACATGTGGGTATTTAAGTTAAATATTTAAAAACACTATTCATCTAGTCCCTGCAAACTGGTGTCGTGTGGGTTCGAGAGCTATATAGGACTCAAAAATACCACGATACTTCCACAAGAAAGTGTGATGGCAAATGATCATGATGTAACTGTCATCGTGGAGTTTGGCAAGGTTGACAGAATGCCCGTTTATAATTCTAAAATAAGTTGCTGATTTGCTAATCAAATACCCATGGTTACTTCACAATATTTTGATGATACGCACAAGTTTTATTTTTGTAGCGTATCCGTAATGTTCGTTGCGTATTTGATACACTTGGATTTTATTTTACTGCGCATTTCTGCATTTCTGATGCGTATTTTACGCAGATACACAGCTTATCTGGAGCTGTTTTATATCTTCTGTATGCACCTTGACCATGCCCCTTTGTGGAGTGGAGATACAGCACCATATAAATAGCCTCATCATTGTCATAACTAGCCGCTAACCATGCAATCTTTCAACTGAATTTAAGTCATGTCTTTTATTTAAATGACACAAAGGCCCCACACCATGCTCAGAACTAGGTCGATGTGTGTACGAATCAGACTTTTGGTAAAAAAATATTCAGCATGTTCAATAGTACTTTAGTTTTTCTTCCAGAACAAAAAATAACTACGGTATAATTGGACGCAAAATATTTACATTGCAAATCCATAGGAGGCAAAATGACATTGATTTGTCACCAGCGTGAAATTATGTTTAACAGCCTTAACAATATTGTTCATAACATACCTGTTGATGTACACCTACTGTTATACGGCAATGCAGATCACATTGTTACAGAAAATGAAGCTATTTTTAAGGCAGTACAACATTATATATACTACTCAAAAGAAGTTAAGGATCACCCGATTCTTTCATAATGGTAAAATAAATCTGTCATGACATGAGAGATTACCTATAGTAATATGAAAGAATCAGGTGATCCTTAACTTCTTTTGAGTAGTATATGTACAACTGAAATGTTTTTGTAAAGTACTGTTCATTCAACAATGCATCTCTCCCCTTCACACAGACACAGACACAGACACAGACACACACACTCACTCACACACACTCACTCTCTCTCTCAACATTTTATGTCTCTTCTATAGTGTTGTATGTATTCTGGTCGTCATGACTAACTATCTAATTCTGATCTCTCCTGATAATATATTAACATAATAGCCACTGTAACACATTTCCTAAATGGATTTCCATAATCAATAATGTGTATTCATGTCCTGCGGTGACATACAGTATGTGCGTCTACTCAGTGTAGTTAATGGGCTCTCTGTCAGGTGTTATTGACTATTGACTGCCACACTACTAATGCAAGTCTCACCTGAACATCGTAACCATCAAAACCACGGTTTTGGCACTGAACCACCTGTGGGACGAAGGTGCGGCAATCAGCTGATCCACCAACACATTTCAGCTGAAAGTATACATGAATTATAAACAACCAACTCTTGTTTAACATTGTTTAAGGTCAACGAATACAAACACCTGCGTTTCAGGCAATTTGCCTGTAACCATGCTAACAGGTTAATAATTGTTCAAAGTTTGGATATGTTTTGTTGATGACTCATCTCCATAGTTACAGATGCAATAAAAGTTAAAATGTCAGGGTCACAAATGTTGACCTGATTAAAGGATTTTGAGAAAGTGTGAGTCAGATTTAAAACCTCTTTGAACAACATTTCAGTCACATCCTTGCATGTCAGCTTATTGAGGGAGGAAAATCATATGTGCTTCCCACTTTAACATGTTTAATGAAACACTAAAGTAAGAGTATGGTGGTGACAAACAAAAAATCAATCGGGGTAAATCTTGAATTTGAATGCATGATCTCTGGATCCACACATGTTTAAGAGAAGCAACACGACTGTATAAAGAAACATCTTAGACTCTCCTGGTCGTGCTGTTACCACTGCTGTAGATATCAATAACATTGCACTGTACCCCTTTGTGACTCACAGGGTCATAGAGCCAAAAACATGATAACATAGCAGAAAAATTATCCAGAGCAATTAACCTATCACCAGAGCAAAGTTAACTACTCCCCGAACAATCAGGCAAGAGTCATCCTCTTGCATTTTCTTTTAATCTGTATAATTCAAATAAAATAACGGGTAACCATGGTAACATTTCTGAAGATGTTGATGTTTTCCATTCCATGTGTGACCAAATCAGGCATATTTTGACCATCAATGTGTGTATTGTTCCAGATTCATAATAAATATAGCCTGTTAATTTTATTGCTGTTTTCACCATGTTCATGTTGACTAATTGCTTGAAACATATGATGAGCAGTTGCACCATGTGCAATGTACTGAAAATATATTTATATGTTTTTAAAACAATATTTTCCAGAAGGTTTACCTGAATATGCTGAATAACATTTAGTACGTTGATAAATGTCTGACAGGTATGAAGTTGTCGGACAAAATGGCAGATTCAACATAACATTCTGATTGATCAATAGTCAACATGGTCAATGATCATTGATGATGCTGTTTGTTTGAAAGGTGGTGATAAGTTAATTCCTTACACCTTTCCTTAAGACCTTTTCAAATTATCATCAGTTTGTAACAAAACAAAACAAAACTTTTTATTACCACTGGTAGGGGAATTATGATTTGGTTCATCATTTTCATAGTATCTTTTTCCTCCATCATGTCCATAGCATTTGACATAATAATCATGAAGGGTCATCATGTCATATCTGAGCTCATCATACATAAACAATGATAAAGATGATAAATGTACCTTTAAACCTAATCATGGTAGTGTATAAAATAAGTTGTATGACTGACCTGGGGCACAGGGGATGACCGACGGGCAGTTGTTGGCATCCCATATCTCAGTGTTATGGCGGAAATCTCACGCAGTAACACTCGGTCACTCATGGCACCTGGAAGATGGGTAATGATAATCATTATAAACATAGACACTACAGTATTGGGCTGGGACGAGTCCAAATTTACTACCCGGGTACCCACCCCCTCTATTACCCGACCCTACCCGGGTACCCACTATAGGTCTCAGGTGATGTCTCAAAATGTCCGAATGGGAACATTTTTAGCATAGCCCTGGCAAATCGTATTTAGATACATGTATTAAACAATCTGGTCATTCATACACTGAAGATGAATTTAGTTATATCTTTATTCAACCATAGGAAAAATCAGAAGGATTTGGTGCATAGTCAGAAAGAAATGCGAACATTAGTGACTTGTAGCGTAACCATAGAGTTCTAGATATATTTTGTCATCAAACAATATATCACGTGACTAACCACGGGTCCGGGTAGTCCTGTGGGTACCTCCTACTCAGTACCCACCCGACCCGGGTACCGAGTTACCCGTGCCAGTCCTACTACAGTACTATCATTATCTATTAGACAATAGTTTTCATAATTTTCTGAATGATCATGATGGTTAATGGGTCGTTGTATTGTGTACTTCAGCATGTGAGAAATGTACCCAAGGTAGGAATACCTTTCTGCATTTATTGAGGATATTTGTGAAATGATTATGATTAATACTTACCAAAGGTGGCCACTATGAAGACAGATGAAAAGGTGAAAATCAGGGAAAGAGCTCTTCCTGCCATCTTGTTAGACAGGGTAGAAAGTCTTTCACTAATTCCAAATATTATCCCCCTGGACTGTTGCTGGATTGTTTAATTGCTTTATGTCTTGCAACTGGAATAAACAGACAAAATAATGAGCAATGATTAGTATTTAGCATGTGTTTAGTGACTTGACAAGCTGTTGATTGGTTACATATAATGAATTCATGATTGTTGAGTACCAATATGTTTTAAGTCTACTAGGTCTTGGGCAAGTTTAGTGACTCTTAATACACATGATACATATATACATGATAGGTATATTACCTTACAAGCGGGGAATATTAACCGCTGAAAAACACTTCCGGGTGTTGTAGAACAGAGTTAAAACTAAAGCGAAACCACTCTTCGTCTTGCAGTAGCAGTCAGTTTGCAATACAAGCTCGTCAAAATACTCCGTCGATTCAGTACTAGTTGGTGACAGTTAGTTGTATCGAAAGTTCACGTCACTAATAAAAGCAAATTCTTACCTATAAATAGGTTATACTGATGCAAACTGTTATGACATTACGAAAATGTATTAACTGTACACTCTCACCAACCGTCTATTGACGAATCATCCAAGTTGCTGCGCCAACTCCTCACAGCGACAGCTACTTCGTTTTATCTATGCTATCACGATGGTGCGCAAAAGTCACACGTAGTTTGGAGCTTGGGAATTTTAAAAGGGAACCAACTCCTGAGACTTTTCCATTAGCCTACCACATAAAATATTACTTCAAACACGTTTCGTTTGGCAAATAAATGATTGGTGATATCACTTAATATCATTTGTGTGTGTGTGTGGGTGGGGAGGTGGGGTGGGGTGTGTGTGTGAGTGATATGAAAAACAACAACACACAGACTGTTAACAGGAACCAGAGTCGGTATATGGTCTCTGCAGGAACTAAGTAACAATGTGAGACCGATCATGAACTAACAATTCATTACATTAACCTTGTAAATACTTACACGATATTCGTGTACTGACCTGTCATAGTGAATTACCTGTACATAATATACTGGACTGGATATTTGCATAATCCACAAACAGCGATACCGTTAAAGAAACCGTTATCTAAACCGCGAAGCGTTCTATTATCATAATGTACTACCTTCTTGATCTTTTTTAAGCGGATAATGTTGACCTATTCACCTATGGGTAATACTGAAGGACTGAAGATCAAGTGTGTGTGTGTGTGGGGGGGGGGGGGGGGGGGGGGGGTGAAATTGCGTAGTCAACAACATTGCATCAATTTCACATGCTTTTACCTGTGTTTATTTTCGTAAGTGTCATATTTTCTCATGTAGACTACATATTTCAATGCCATATATTTTCTTTTTGTTGTCATATTTATCACTAATCAGCTGTGCTATATGAATTTCCCTGTGGATAATAAAGTCTTGTCTTATCTTATGCTATCGTATCTTATGTTACGAAATGTTTTGTATTTGGTCTAGACAAAGACGTATATAGATGTATTTGTACATACGTCTTTGGTCTGGAAGAGCCAAACCGTAAATAATCGCAGCAACTATCATGTCGGGGTTTGCAATCAATAACAGTCAACATTTTCTGCGTCTTTATGACAATCATGGTCAGTCGGTCAACATTTTCTTCGTCTTTATGACAATCATGGTCACAATAAATAAACAATTCATCGATTCATATTATCAATCCTGATTTGCAACTGAGATATTAAATTAGAAGAGTGACATGTCAGTTTTATATTCATCCTCGATTTCTCATTCTATTATGATAAATATATGTATCACAATAACATGGATATAACATGGATACTCGAGGATGTTTTAATTCTGGGCTGAACGGTTTCTACATGTGATTGATAATATATCAGTTTATAGTAATTCCCAAACGCAATTATAACATTACCAATATTGCGCAATGCTTATCATGATAACATGTTGATTTCGTTGTTAAGTAAAATAAATAAAATGTTTACATAATAAAGTGTTTATGCTATTTGGGGTTGGCTTTTGGGTGCAAGGTCTACCTTTACGTCCCTTCCAGTACATAAGGATAAAAAAAAACAACTAAACTCTCTCCTTCGGAAGACTAAAAAAACCCTGAACTATTAACACTAAAATTTAAAATATAAAATATCTACATCTTTTATATTCCGTCAGCGACATATACATGTTTGTATCAGATTTAGAAACAATGTTGATATCTTTTCAAAGAAATTTTTAAATTAACCTCCTAGGAAAAATATGATTCGTTGAAACGGATACTATCAAATATTTTATGGTCTCTGGTAGAACAAAAAAATCAATTCCTTGTGGAATCTAGACAATAATGAAGTTTTAGAGACACAAATGTGACCCCCCCCCCCCCCCCCCCCCCCCTCCAAAAAAACCCAAAACAAAACAACAACAACAATCAACAACAAACAACAACAACAAAAAACAACAACAAAGGCAGCGTTACTAGCCGAGTTTAGTCGGTATTATTTTGCCATGAATTAATTATGTATGAATTTTGCAACAGATCAAGGACGTTGGTCACGTTGACATCATCATGGAGACCAAAGATTCGTCTTTAGGGAGACTATAAAGACCCTCTAAATAGACTCCCTGATATCATTACTTATCTGAACTAATATTTCACAGACATTGTAAAATATGTGAAATTTCTATATAAAATTTGAATTATCTTGTAAACATATATAATTTGAATATAAGTAACGCAAATACTGCTAGACGTAACGAAATACATGTTTTGGATTTGTGTCTCTCTGATGGAGCTTCTAGCACAGTGGCGTTTGCAACCGAAACCGGTTTCGCGAATCGAACGACTATTTGACCTGTTCGTCCTTCCGGTTGCAGCCATAGCCGAAACATAGAGCAAGAACACAGAGACTGCAGGCAGAAATGGCGAGTTCAGAACCCGACAATAAGCGCCACAAGCGCCTTTATAACATCTTCACAGCGCCCGATGGAAAAGAATGCGAAAAGAAGGTTTTGTGGGGCACTACATACGGTGCTATTTCAGGTTGGTTTTGAATATCAGTTCGAACTAATGTCAGTCGCCGGTCGGTTCAGCTCCGTGGCGTTTCTGTCGCCGTATAAGTTTGCCATTGATTACACTGCGTTTGTTACCCTAATATGTGTGGTTAAGCATCAGTGCTAAACTTTGCAGTGAGACGGAGATAGATTGCCATTTCTACAGAATAAGCAGTGATTAGCATGGTTAGGGATTTGTTCACACTAGTGAACAAAATAGGATAAACATGATAAACATGATTAAGGTTTCACGTGTTTACTTACAACACAATGCGTTAACTAACAAGGTGAAATGTCAAAACGTGGACAAGTAATCAATAGATTGATGAAACATGTTGTAAAAAATATCAGAATACGAATAATATTTGCTTGGCCTAAAAACTATAATGCCAAATATTGTAGCTCAAGTTTTGTTTGAACCATGATGATACACCTGACTGTAGTCATGAATGATACACCTGTATGACTGTCATGACAACCTATCTGACTGTTATAATACTCATATGGCTGTAACAATACATTGGTACAGTCTGCTGATTTCCGCATGTTTCAGGTTCCATCCTAGCTTCCTATGACATCATGGGCTACAGTGGAGCGAGTACTCTTGCAAATGGTCTTGGAAGATGGGCTTTTCATTTATTTCCAATGGGTATGTATTACATTAATAAATGTTAGCATTGTATTTGTAAAGTTTATACTCCTCACAATGCCTAGGTCTTTGCAAATATGCATGACTTAGTGTGTTCCCTTGTAATCCAGAACAGACAAGTATCAAGAAGTTTTAATTCATCTCTATTTTGCCTACCATGATCATGATGATAACTGGTATCATCATTTTTATTTCCAATGCATATAGGCCACAGGCCTTTGTGTACAAAAGTTGCGTACAGACAAGTTTTAAACATTCAGTTTTGCATTTCTTACTTCATTTGCATAATATAGATATTTTGCTAGATTTGTAATAATAATATATCTGGTGAAGCCAGAAGCATATTAAATTTATGAACGTTAGGATGACAATAGATCCTTGCTTTGAGATATAGTTGCCGTAACTTGACATACGATGGACAAATAAGCAGGAAGTGGTACTCGGTGTCAACACAGTCTAATTTACAAAGTTTGCATTTTCCTAAATTCCTTGGGTTTTTAAAATGACGTCCATTCTCAATTTTCAAAATATGACAACTCAGTCTGAATCTCGTCAGGGTTGTTTTCATATTTTGTGAATTTAAGGATGACAACTGGTATGGCTGCACCAATGCTCGAAATCAAACACAATAGTCGTGGGTCCTGAATGAATGAAGAGTTAGGGTGTCCCTAGGTTCAAATATTGTGACAGCAAGCCAGAAGGACCCTAAGTTCAGAATCAGCAGAATCATTGTGTGACAAGAATATGATCAGGGCTATATCTAGGATGCTTACTGTGTCTAGGGGAGGTATTAGGAATGTTCTGAACTTGATTTGGATTTGTTTTGTCCAGTTTGGGAATTTACCAGTATTTGATCATGTTGATGTAGCACTAATTCTACACAGCTCACAGGATGTGCAAACTCTAACCTTACTTGTTACTTTCTCTAATAACAGCTGCTGTCGGAGGAACCTACACAGCTGTTTCGTGCATCTCGGGAAAGATGCGAGGCAAGGATGACCCGTTTAACCATATCCTAGGAGGCTTGGCTGCAGGAAGCATCTATGGAGTCAAGTGTGAGTGTTTCACGCAACCCCCTTTTTACTCCATGGTCCTCTTTGTTGGATTCAGGTGCTGTGACTTAGTAGTGCTTGAGCGAATTATCAAATAGTCGGTCAATGTTTTGATCCGCAGTCAGAGTGATTATCTATCTATTATCTTGTCTAAATTATTTAGAATAAAATTATGTCTTATGTTCCAAATATGAACAGATGTCCAACCTCACTTGATTCAATAGTGTTAAGTAACAATTATTTATGTTAATGATTGATGAGAGCTCCTGAAATTGAAAGAATGTTTCAGAGCAATAACCAGCACTACAGTTTAGTGTCCAAAGTTGCTTTGCTGACCAGCTATGTTGTTAGTTTGGGTACAAACAACTTCCCAAGGTGAGGGAGTTAACTGACTATAAAAGTCCAGTTTCCACCCTTGCTGAACTAAGCTGCAATTATGGAGTTATGTTTTGGCTGGACTAACCAGTCTATGCATAGTCCAATTAAAATCTGGAAATCAACATCAGAGGTGGAATCTGATTGGTCAATAGGAGGGACATAGAAGCGCACAACTTGTAATAGCCACTGGTGGCACCAGGAAAGAACCCAGAAATTCCGGCCTAGTTCGGCAACGGTGGAAACTGGACTTTTATAGTCGGTTAACTCCCTTGCCTTGCCTTGGGAAGATGGGGTACAAATAAATGACCCCTCATGTGGGTTCCAGGTTAGAATAGGTCCAAAGCAATGTATGCTGGCCATAAAAGTTGACCAAATGGATCGGTTGGTCAGCCTTGGTGACTAAGACTTGGTTGATTGACATTGTTGATTGACTTGGTTGATTGATTTGGTGTAATTTTGCTCGACTCATTCTGACTGTCCACCCTTTTTGTTTTTTTCAGTCCAGAGCCAGAAGGTGGGATGGGGTGTTGGTATCTTATTTGCAGTCATCGGTTTGACTGCCAAGACTGTCTACATGTACAACTTCTCTATACTACCACAGAAGGAACGCAGACAGAAAGGATTCTACGACTACAGGAAATCTTACTTAACGGAAAGACCAAACCCCGAGGGCAAGATTGACTGTTGATGTAAAAGTGTGTTAGTTGCCAGTTTACTTTGTGTGGAGGATGTGTATACAGAGGCCATTGTATACAGTCACAAAAATCTATGGTCAAGTGCTGCATTTGTCCCCTTATGGCATAATGCGAATACTAGAGAAAGACTAAAGTCTGTATTGTTTCCTTGTACATATGCATTAAAATGTGGAAATACAAACATGTTTAAGAAAAAAGTGTACATTTGTTATTTTTTATTCATTCCTTACGTTTTGAGACCACCCACCCCAAAAACATAATTGTGAAAATATTGCTTTCCTCTGAGATTCTATTTATGTCCAGGGCATCCTACGTCACAATGATTCATAAAGCTGGTGGTGCGACAGAGCTTTTTAGTATGGCAAGTTTACTTATATATACCCACAATGGAGATGCCATTCATTTTCAGCTTCAATTATTACAATAAGAGTTGTTATTTCCGGACGTAATCTAGGGATGTCATCGTATATCATGATATTGATGTATCGGTAAATGTTTATTGTCGATGCTGTATTTATACTTATTCACTGCCACAGAAATGTTTATGTTTACATGTATTAAGATTACCACGGTAAAGATGGACAAAGACAAGGCAGGTAATTGATATTGAACATATAATTGATCAACCTAGTTCATATTTGGCATTAAATTGATTAATTGCAGGTCTGAAAAGTAATTTTTATCTGTACACATTGACATACAGAATCATTAATTTTATTATTAATTGATATTTATCATCCAAAACTGGCTCCCACAGGAGATATTGCTTGGATGAGATCAAGCGATATCTACACTGTAGATATCGCTGCAATGAAATTACATCACAATGCTTTGCAGACCATTGTGACGTCACCGGTTACCATGACATCACAATCAAATGACATCACTAATGGCTCTGCCACTGAAGCTGTTTGCAGTCCTCTTTACACTGAAGACACTGCTAATTACTCTCTACAAATTGAAAAAGTTGAAAGAATGATGTTGGATCATAAATAAAATCTCACCCTCGTGTCTTTTGATATCAAATATATCAACACTCGTTGATAAAAGTGGCAAAAATCCTCGGCAAGCGTCAGAATTTTCCACTTTTATCAACTTGTGTTGATATATTTGATATCAAAAGACACGAGGGTGAGATTCTCTATATATATCGTCATACTTTTGAGTGGGGTAGGGGGGTACACATGTGACCCAGTAGTCTAAGGCGCTGCAATTTGCTTGGCAGAGTTGTGTCCCTTTGGGCACACCAGAATTCTATGATTGTGGGTTCGAATCCCGGTTAGCCTGAGTTATGATTCTGGGTTTGTCAGCATGATTCCAGTGCTCTAGGGTTTCACGCAAGTGGTAAACGTCTGAGATCTGCATCACTTCGGTCTTTCCTCACACATATGCTGACACACAGTGATATAACTGGAATACTGTTAAAAGCAGCATTAATCCCAACTCATTCACTTTTAAGTGCATATATGGATACAAATATTTCCAATTGATGATATCCTGACCCCAAAGCTATAAATCCCCTGAAAAGATTTCATGGCTGTAAAAACATGTAGACCTGTTTACACAACCCCCTCCCTTCTATCCCCACTTCCTACCAAAACATTAAGGAATTGATAATAAGATCTGCTGGTTGCATTGGTTTGAATCCTAGATTGGCTCTGATTATGTTCCTTGGTTTGTCTGCACAGGTTGCTGCAGCTATTTCACCGAAGTCAAATTGGGCTTTCTATCAATATTAAGCTGACATGTACAATGCTTTAAGTGAAAAGTGCCTCTAGAATGAACGTATGACCAAGATGGCTGCTGATTATTTTTATGTAGATTTATGTAAAAGGGTCACCCGGCTGTACTTGTTTCTTGTTCAGACTTTATTACATACAGGCTGCCGTCATACCGCTGACTGCGGCGGTAAACAACAAAGTGATCAGCGGTCGGTATATAGTTGTTTAAAGTGTTTGAAGACCAGTAAAATATCCAGCACGTCAGGCTATGCGGCGACAGAGGCAGGCGACTTAAATGAAGTTATAATAGTAGGTTTGAATAACTATGTTTCAATGACGATTCCAGATCGGTAATGCATGCTACTTCACAGGTCACACAGAGGCGTTGATAGACTCACGGTAATTCTCACTGAGCAATATTTTTTTTGTTTCGTGTTGATTGATAAGTACGTTCCAATTTTTTTCAATGATTACAGATAGTCCCATAGCAACGTGACGTCATATGAACGCACATTCGTGACCAACTCGTGTTCATTCGTCACCACTCGCCCCTTTCCGCAACCTGGAAGAAGACTCGTCCCCCTATCGATGAATGTTATGTGCGAAAATACGACAAACCAATCAGAATACGCGTATGATTTTAAGTTCTTCGTCAAAGAATCCCTCAGAAATAATTTTGATTTTACATATGTCTTGCATCTAAAAATATACCAAAGACACAGTTAAATGTGTTCAATTATACTGTATAATGTCGCACGTCCCAATGTGCTTTAAATTGCATCTGAAACAAATAATATACGGGGAAATATATGTGAACCACTACGCAAAGATTTTACAATTGTTTTAGGTATGCCCTTTTGCGCTAAGACGGAACCCGGTCGCAAAAATGGCCATGAGAGCGGCACGAGTCGCTATTCGGCTTGTCCCGGAATAACACGAGTTGGTCACGAATGACTCGTGTTATTCCGGGACACGCCGAATAGCGACTCGCGCCCCCTCTCGTGGCCATTGTTTTGCGCAAACGGGCATAGTTAAAAGAATTGTCAACTCTTTGCGTAATGATTCTCGTATATTTCCCCCATGTCATATTTGTTCCAGATACTATTTACAACATATCGGGACTTATTTATACAGTATGATTGAACCCATTTAATTGTATCTAGGGTACATTTTGGCTGAAAGACATATGTAAAATATTCCTGAGGGATTCTTTGAACGAAGAACTTGAAGTCATACGCGCATTTTTTTGCACATAACATTCATCGATAGGGGGGCGAGTCTTCTTGCAGGTTACGGAAAGGGGCGAGTGGTGACGAATGATGAACGCATTGTTACAAATATATGTATTTGAACAATATCACGTTCGGATCTTTCCGTCAAGCCTGGAAAAAGACAGCGCCTTCGGTTGATTGATTGATAATTGAAGACGAAGTCATCAATTGTTCATGACCTCTCAAATGATTTAACGCCAACTGTGTTGTGTCCACCCGTGTACAGGGAAAGCACGTTTGTCTACATTTTCTCATTTTTTAAATATTTTTTTGTCTAACGCCGCACTCAGCAATATTCCAGCTATATGACGGCGGTCTGTAAATAATCGAGTCTGGACCAGACAATCCAGTGACTGACATCATGAGCATCGATCCACGCAAAGGGATACGATGACATGCATCAACCAAGTCAGCGAGCCTGACCACCCGATCCTGTTAGTCGCCTCTTACGACAATCATACGACAAGTATTGGTTTCTGAGTGAGTGAGTTAGAGCAATATTCCAGCAAAATCACGGCGGGGGACACGGAAAATGGGATTCACACAATGTACCCATGTGGGGAATCGGTCCCGGGTCTTCGGCGTGACGAGCCAAAGCTTTAACCACCAGGCTACCCCACCGCCCCAATGGGTTTCTGAAGGGGCGGCCGGGTAGCCTAGTGGTTAAAGCGTTCGCTCGTCACGCCGAAGATCCGGGTTCGATTTCCGACATGGGTACAATGTGTGAAGCCCATTTCCTGTGTCCCCCGCCGTGATATTGCTGGAATATTGCTAAAAGCGGCGTAAAACCATATTCACTCTCACTCACTCATGGGTTTCTGAAGACATTGGATCTTCACCCGTGGGTACAACATTTTCTCAGGAAATGGCTACGGTTAATATAAAGAATAACCTAATTGCATGTCCGAATTTAGGATTATCTGTCCCTCGCCAAGGCTTGGAACTTACACAATTGATTCACTCGGGACGGATAATCCAGTGTTTAACCGCTGTTTACATACCGGCGGAAGGCTCAACAGCAACATTCTTTCGCTTATTATTATTGAGTTTCAAATGTTCGTCTGTCTTGTCCAGTTTCAATTTTTAACAGACTGAAATGTTGGACTATTGCGAGCTGCGGTGTAAAACGACATTCACTCCTTCACTGATCCAATTCCCACAGACACCTATCATGGATGATGTTAAAATGCGACCGACGAGTTTCTTTTAAAGCAAATTTATTAATTAAACAGCTTTACGAAAAATGCATAAAACTATTTCTTCCGCAGTATTACAAATGACTGTTCTTAATAGTTATGGCACAGAATATTAATGTAATTAGCGCGGATCGACTGGCGAAATTTCACATACGGCGTTAAACAACGAACCAACAAATGCACCCTGTACACAGAAATGTATGACTACTGCAATTGCACGTATTACAACGTCTTGACAGGAAATGGGGATCACACCCTGGAGCGTAATAGTGCATAACACCCTCTATAATCTAGTGTATTATATCTGAGTGACTCCATTCTAATTTGATAATGCATTGGCAACCATAGATTCGTATTGATCCCGATTCGAATAGCACGATGCTAAAATATGTCATCCAGTCAAATTACTCTCACCAGCAAGATAAATTATGTGCTTAGTTAGAAATGGAGCTATGGTAGTGGTGACGTCACTTCAGAAACGTTTATGATGTCAATCACTGGATTGTCTGGTCCAGACTCGATTACATACAGGCCGTCGTCATATAGCTGGAATATTGCTGAGTGTGGCGTTAAACAACAAACAAACAAACAAAAGTTCAGAAACTAACCCATGGAGGTACATAGGATATTTATCAAAATGGCTAACTGAGGCTAACTGAGGAAGAGTGTATATCAGTGCATGGAAATGTCTACATACTATAGTCAATCTTGCATGGTGACAATTTACAGTTGGCATGAATTTCTCTGGTTCATGCCAGCGGATAATTATAAACTATACCCTCTTTTGATGCACGTGCACCCGATAGTGCTGGGTGCATGTTCGTCAGGACAACCAGAGCAGGTGCAACAGTGACAGCGCCGTTATTACAACCGACTGGAGCAACTTGCTGTTCTTTGCATGTGTTTCTTGTCCACCTGAAACTATCAAACATAGTGTCTTACATGAACAGTTCAGTAACAGCAAAGGAAGAAGTGGCGTTCCTTGCAGTACACCCAGTCGGAATGTCGGGATATTGTTGTCGACCATGAGTGAGTGAATGTTGTTTGACGCCTAAGTCAAAACTATTGCAGCTATGTCTCGGTTGCTTGTTCAAAAACAAGTATGGACCAGACAAACCCGTGACCCGTACCTTACGATTTAAAAAAAATACAATGTAAAGCAAGGGATAAAGAAGACTTAAGAGAGGACATATTGAAATAGATGCCGATACGAGTGAGTGAGTGAGTGAGTGAGTGAGTTTGATTTTACGCCGCTTTTAGCAATGTTCCAGCAATATCACGGCGGGGGACACCAGAAATGGGCTTCACACATTGTACCCATGTCGGGAATCGAACCCAGGTCTTCGGCGTGACGAGCGAACGCTTTAACCACTAGGCTACCCGACCGCCCCGATGCCGATACGATGGTACTAGTTCCATTGCCTGGCGTTCTGTATTTGGGAATAAAACCAACTGGCCGCAGAGCGGATGGTCGGGCGTTCGATCCCCGGCGGCGTCATACCAAACCACGTTAAACGATGGTACTTGCTACCCTAAAAATGTAACCCTGTCTGGCGCTCGGCTTTAAGGGGCTAAAATAAGGACTGGTTGGATCGGAGTCAGTATACTGTGTCTGAGTGGGGTATTCATGTTTAAACTGCGGCATGGTATCTCAGTGGGATAGAACTAAAACAGGCGTTAGCACACACAAGTTCTACAGATACTGAAAACGTGGAGTACATACTAGCGACGCGTGGAAAGAGGAACACCTCCTTGATGGCGAGTTTGGCGGGAAGATCTGCCACACACCGGAACGGGATGTCGCCTTCGACGCTACGCATGCGCACAGTGATTGTGCTCTCACAGTCACCGAAACCTGAAATGTATTTAGATTTATAATACATATAGTACTGAAATACTAATACGCCAGTCATGAAAAATCAACTTCACACAAGGTCACTCATAAGACAAACATGTTATTTGACAAGAAACGACAAACACGCTCTGTATGTGTTTGATCGTAGTATGGGGATAAAACAAGGAGTGGGCGGCTCAGTCAGTACACCGTGTCTTATCACGGTAGCCATGATGAACTATGGTATCTCAGTAGGCTAGTACTATGAAACCGGGATTAGTCCGGACCAGTACAAGCATATGTTATATGAATGTAGTAATCTTAACGCGACGTCAAACCCAATTTCACCTCACCTCAATTACCTACTCGTCGGACTAATAGGTATGCCATACATTTTTCTTAGGGGCGATACCTTGATTTTATTTGCAACAAAGAAATAAAACAACAACAAAAATGGACACAACGAACATAAGGAACAAATGGTCAATTTGTAGTTCCCTAAAGTGGCTTCATACGGAAAGGGCCCGTAGAGGCAGAACAACATTTGTTGAAATAATCAACGTTTTAACGTTTAAACAGGTATCTATTTTGTTTTATAAATCAGAAGATTCGATGCTTTTTACCATCGCTTTTGTATATCTTAGAACTAACGCTCTTGACGTCATTTAGTTCTCTTTGTCCTTTGAACCATCTGAGGTCTGCAGGCGGATGGCTGTGCCAAGACCGACACGTCAGGTTTACGTCACCGTCGCTGGGCAACACTGACGTCACGTCTGAGGTCAAGGTAAGACGTTCCATCGGCACTGTGATACAAAACAACAATTAACAACTTTTAACATAAAAACACATTTTGAAAATGATTTAAATATATAAACTGTTGACGTTAACTCACGTTGTTATGATCTGAGTTGATTAGCGTTTGTTCACCTACAGTATCCAATATGACACCGAAATATACTAAATATAGAATCAAATCTATTTAAATATTGGCTACCTTGCCACAAGGAGACAGATAAATATATATACTATTATGTGATATACAGTAAAACCCCATTTTCTCGGACAGTATAGTTCCCATTGAAATCGTCCGGATTAAACATTTCCAAACATATGCCTAGTCAGCAATTTTCAAGCAATATCAGGATAGGCAGTAAACAGTTGTCTTAAACTGGCCAAAGAGTGGTTGTTAGCCAAGTCACAGATCGTAACCATATGACACTCGTTAATCGGCTCTAACAATAAACTCGTGAGTGATTAAATATTTCCAAATATATGCCTAGTCAGCAATTTTCAAGCAATATCAGGATAGGCAGTAAATAATTGTCTTAAACTGGCCAAAGAGTGGTTGTTAGCCAAGTCACAGATCGTAACCATATGACACTCGTTAATCGGCTCTAACAACAAACTCGCCAAAATTGTAAACGCCTCGACCAGCAGCACTTCGTAACTTCCTGGCAAGTCGCGATAGAAGTGATATACTGTAAATCTATTTATCCCAGAGAGGCGTTAAACCCGAGTCACTCACTCACTACAACACGCAAAGGGGACTAGGGCCATATTTTGCTCCGTCATCGGCAAGGGGTTATAACCCAAAAGCACTGACCCTATGTTTGATCCCATTCCATTTTCTCCTAATACGTTGGTTAGTTGGTTGCTGTGTTGTTTATCGCCACACTCAGCAATATTCCAGCTATTGTAAATAATCGAGTCTGGACCAGACAATCCAGTGATTAATATCATGAGCATCGATCCACGCAATTGGGATTGATGACATGCATCAGCCAAGTCAGTTAGCCTGACCATCCGATCCCGTTAGACGCCTTTTACGACAAGCATAATTGCCTTTTACGGCAAGCATGGGTTGCTGAAGACCTATCCCACCCCTGGGCCCACTTGCACAAAGCGATCTTAGCACTAAGATGATCGTTACTCCAATACTTTAACAAAGGCTTACAATAGTCTTAGGGCTAAGATCGCTTTGTGCAAGTGGGCCCAGGTCTTCACGGGAATCCTAAAAAGTAATTGTATCAGTCGAACATATTGTTTTTTGCAATTTGAACAATAAATGCAGAAGCCATGTATACCTTGTTATTTTGCATCCAAGAAATCTATCAAACATTTTTGGTCATTATCAGTTTAGTCTACTGTATGTTTCTGAGAAGGTTATCTAAATATTTTTCTTTTCTTCAATATTAAAAACAACAAAACAACAACCTAATATTGAATTTCAATGACTTGACCAAATTTGAACCCCTTTAGGCCAAGAGCATCCACCGAAAAGGTCGAAAGTGTGAATAAACGCTTAAACCGAAAAACAAAAACAAACTTGAAGAAAGTACTTGCTCGTTGAATTTTTCATGGTGCCTCAAATTCCAAATGATTCATGACAGTTTCTTAAAAGTTAGATGAATCAAGCCTAGTACGACGCACCTGAGACAGACACGTACGCGGTAGCCGTATTCGTTTCTGCGTCACATTGGTACAGTCCATCGTCCTTAACTGTGACGTCACGAATGACAAGGTTGTAGGTGTCCCGGATATGGAACTTGTAACTGTTTGTTGACCGGTTGTTGATGGAGGCGATTCGCTCGTTAATGCCTGAAACCTATAACAAGGTGAAGACTATACAAGTTAAGTTGCAGTGCTTGGCTTATCTCAATCCCATGTGTAATCTCGGCCAACACTTGGGGAACCCCTATTGGAAGTAGTTTTATTCACGTGACTATCACATAAAACAACACACCCTAACTGAAGGCATGACTCTTATGTAAGAGCGTGTTTATGAATATTAATATATATAGTGTTTCCATGTACTTACTTTACTTACTTTATTTCTGTTGACATAAAAAGTGGTGTGTTTTTTACACCATTAGCGCTTGAACTGTTTTACAAAGATAATTTGCTCCAGAATTGTTCTATGGAATCGTAGAAGGGACATTGTCGCGTTGTTGCCCTTATTAAAAGAAGCAAAACGCGTAAAAAACCCCAAAGCGCGATAATGCGATAGTTTGACCATTTGTCACATTGTGGCGTTTTGAATAATATTTTTGACTTTTTCCAAGCGTGACAATGCGAAAAGGCGACATTTTTCAGTGTCAAAATATGTGGTGTAGTCGCATTGTCGCCAAATCTAAAATGTGCGAGTGAGTGAGTGAGTGAGTGAGTATGGCTTTACGCCGCTTTTAGCAATATTCCAGCAATATCACGGCGGGGGACACCAGAAATGGGCTTCACACATTGTACCCATGTCGGGAATCGAACCCGGGTCTTCGGCGTGACGAGCGAACGCTTTAACCACTAGGCTACCCGACCGCCCCCTAAAATGTGTAATACAGGCGCTAAAATACACGACAACGTGGCAATGCCCCTCCCAGGATTCCATACATGTCCTGTGTCGCAAGAAATAGCATTATTTGATAGCTTCTTTCAGAGAAAGACCCACCCAGCCTCCTCCAGACTGCCACACTGTCATGACGTTGTATACGACACTCCATTGTTACCTGCTGACTAAACCTGTTACATATCAAACAAACAACACGGCCTTACCTTTTTCCAGATGACAAGTTCGCCAGGTTTTTGACGCCTAGTTTGGCACTCCAGTGTAACGTCATCACCAGTAAACGCCGTTACGTTAGACGGCTCGATGTTGATTGTGACGCTGGTCACGTGATTGAAAGCTGGAGAAATAGAGCACAGGCCTTATAAGGGCTGAACGATGCAGTGATGTGACACCGTATGGAATAGTCATGGGCGGATACAGCTTTTTGGAAAAGGGTTTTTCGAAAAAGGGGGGGGGGGGGGGGGGGGGGGGGGGGGGGGGGGGGGGGGGGGGGGGTGGGGCGCACCCCCGCAGCCCCCATCTGTATCCGCCCATGAATAGTCATACGTCTCCATGCATATCGTTAAGTTTAAACAATCCTATTAAAGTCAGATCTTAGTTTTCTCTGCCGTAACAATTGTTATATTTGGGATAACACTTTCTGAGTAAAGTACACATTCTCGTACTATTGTGAGTTGAGTACCGTCCGGGATTCGAACCCACACTGCCAGAGTGAGGCATTTAATCGCCAGCACACAAAGTTAGCGATCTAACCCACTCAGCCACCGAGGCTTCCACAAAATTGAAAGTCCGACAACTTGTAGTCTAGTTCACGTACTTTGTATACCCCTCTGACAAGTGTAAATTGGCACGGCTCCCATGGCCGAAAGCTATGAACACACAATGCCATTTAGAAAGTGGTTAAATGTAACAAATGTTATACTTGGGATAACACTTTCAGAGTAAAGTACAGATTCTCGTACTTTTTTGGGGTTGAGTCCCGTCCGGGATTCGAAACCCACAATGCCAGAGCGAGGCACCTAATCGCGCATCATGGAATTTGCTCATGTGAGGCAGTCTTCATCAGCTGATGAACGTCAACAAATACAACTTCAATCCTTAATTTGAATATTATTGTTACGTAAGGCCGGAATGACGGCGCACTAGAAACGACATTCAAAGCTGAAGATTGTTGACGTCATCCGACAATCGTGGTTTCCTGTGACGGCTGTCCTGATCAGGGCGCAGCTGTACAAAAGCGTACCGACTGTCGCATGTCTATATTAAGGTATACGACCACCTTAGCGCTTAGCGCTAGATCGCTTTGTACAACGGCACCCAGTGCATTTCTCTAAAGGGGAGCACACAAGGATAAAGAAATAAAGGGTGATAAAGAAAGCATAACACTCGCAAGCGTGTCACACTCATTTTACGAAATTCGTGTAAAAATAAATGTATAACCCGCGCTCTCGCTACAAGAATTCTGTCACTTGTAAACAGTTCGCACTACATGCTGTACTAATAATCTCCATTTAACCACATTGATTGAGTGACAAACCTAGAAACATAATCGGGGGGAACCGGGATTCGAACCCACAATCATAGGTTTCTGGTGTGCCCAAGGGACGCAACTCTGCACAGCGAATCGCGGCGCTTTAGACGACTGGGCCACCCGTGCCCCCCTGCTATTTTGAAAACAATGAAGTAATATTAATGTTTAAAAACAGTTGCTGTTGATTACGTACTCTCTACCTGTCAGTGCCATCCTCAATATCAATTTGCATATTTTTTGTTTGTTTGTTTGTTTGTTTGTTTGTTGTTTTACGCCGCAGTCAGCAATATTCCAGCTATATGACGGCGGTCTGTAAATGATCGAGTCTGGACCAGACAATCCAGTAATTGACATCATGAGCATCGATCCACGCAATTGGGACCGATGACATGCATCAACCAAGTCAGCGAGCCTGACCACCCCGATCCCGTTAGTCGCCTTTTACGACAAGCATAGTCGCCATTTACGGCAAGCATGGGCTGCTGAAGACCTATTCTACCCCGGATCTTCAAGGTTCAATTTGCATATATCATTGTATGCTCTGAAGTAGTAAGAAAGTGTTGAACTGAGTTCAGAAATTGATTTTGATCGTGAAAATTTACATCGCACAAATATGTAATGAAGAATATTGATATGATAAGGCTTAGAGCCGGGCTACCAAGACCTAAGGTAAACGAAAGTAGTTGGGCAGATATTGATGTACGTTTACGGCTCTGCCCCATATGTGAGTGAGTGAGTGAGTGAGTATGGTTTTACGCCGCTTTTAGCAATATTCCAGCAATATCACGGCGGGGGACACCAGAAATGGGCTTCACACATTGTACCCATGTCGGGAATCGAACCCGGGTCTTCGGCGTGACGAGCGAACGCTTCAACCACTAGGCTACCCGACCGCCCCTGTGCCCCATTTGTGAAACAAGTATAGAGAATGAATATCATTTTACTTTAGAATGTGAATATTACAACGATATTAGAGAACTGTACTTACCAAAAACTTTTTGCCATGATCCAAATATGCATAAATTTAAAATGCTTGCTGTCATCCTCATGTAAACAATTACTTGGAAAACATGTGAATACTTTTATTACAGCTATGAACGAAGACGTTATCATGAAAAGCCTGTAAATCTGTAAATTTGTACCTGACATTACCTTTTTTCATGTACCACACTATTTTAAATGTATGTATTGTATGTATATGGACCATCGGCCTTAGTACAAATAAAAGACTTCACTTCAATATTTACATATTCTTAAATATTGTACGGATGATAACACAAACTTTAAACTAACCTGTGAAACAGAGCAAGCACAGTAGACAAGCCATAGTGTTCATCGCATTAAGAGAAGGGCCATCACTGTAATACAAACCTTTGTCCTTAACAAGAACGTGAAATCCCTTGAATCACTTCTGCAAACATCCAGCTGTCATTATGGACGAGGATCAACACTTTAATCTGATTTCTAGCAACGCTAATTACGAAGCCATTAAGCACGCACCCACAACCAGAACAGCGAATCCCAATGATACAGCTATTTCACATTGCATTGCGTTGTCAATGTATTGGTTGTATTTAGTGCGGTGACTTCGTGATGTCGGATAGCGTTTCCGCTTGAATGATGTGAAGTTTGATTCCAGTTTTCAAATATACAATAATTGATTCTATTTTCTATTTAATGAGGGAGAAATGAAAACAGAGAACAGATTCATTTAATAGGTTAACGTTTTATTTTCGTCAGAAGGAAATATGTTCATATAAACGTAAACACACTAACAACGCAACATCCCCTTATCTTCATCTATCTATCTGTCTGTCTGTCTGTCTGTCTATCTATCAATCTACGAGTGATAGATAGGTACCTACGTGTGGTAGGTAGACATGTATCTATCTATGCAATGACCATTATTTATAAATGCTACTAAAATGAAGTTAAAGAACACCCAATTCTTTCATAGTACTATAGTACTATGAAATAATCGAGCGTTATTCAAATAATAACGTGTATTCTTCAATTCCCCATAACTAATAACAGAAAGTATAACATGAAATATGACATTGTCTGGCAGGCATTTAGTTTAACACGTATTCTTCAATTCCCCTCTCGAACGCAAGGCCAAGGCCATGCTCTTTAACATCGAGACATGAGCATGCCTTTAACACTTATCTCTTAATAATCATTTCAAATCTTGCGTTTCAAGATGCCGCACCATGCAAGTCACTTTGTCGTATCCTTGGACTTACCCCTCCCCTCGACAGCCTACCCCTCCAGTCGTCATCCTACCCCTCCCCTCGACAGCCTACCCCTCCAGTCGTCATCCTACCCCTCCCCTCGACAGCCTACCCCTCCAGTCGTCATCCTACCCCTCCCCTCGACCGCCTCACCCCCCAGTCGTCATCCTACCCCTCCCCTCGACAGCCTACCCCTCCAGTCGTCGTCATCCTACTCCTCTCTTCGACAGCCTACCCCCCAGTCGTCATCCTACCCCTCCCCTCGACAGCCTACCCCTCTAGTCGTCATCCTACCCCTCCCCTCGACAGCCTACCCCTCCAGTCGTCATCCTATCCCTCCCCTCGACAGCCTACCCCTCCAGTCGTCATCCTACCTCTCCCCTCGACAGCCTACCCCCCAGTCGTCATCCTACCCCTCCCCTCGACAGCCTACCCCCCAGTCGTCATCCTACCCCTCTCCTCGACAGCCTACCCCTCCAGTCGTCATCCTACCCCTCCCCTCGACAGCCTACCCCCCAGTCGTCATCATATACCTCCCCTCGACAGCCTACCCCCCCAGTCGTCATCCTACCCCTCCCCTCGACAGCCTACTCCTCCAGTCGTCATCCTACCCCTCCCCTCGACAGCCTCACCCCCCAGTCGTCATCCTACCCCTCCCCTCGACAGCCTACCCCTCCAGTCGTCGTCATCCTACTCCTCTCTTCGACAGCCTACCCCCCAGTCGTCATCCTACCCCTCCCCTCGACAGCCTACCCCTCCAGTCGTCATCCTACCCCTCCCCTCGACAGCCTACCCCTCCAGTCGTCATCCTATCCCTCCCCTCGACAGCCTACCCCTCCAGTCGTCATCCTACCTCTCCCCTCGACAGCCTACCCCCCAGTCGTCATCCTACCCCTCCCCTCGACAGCCTACCCCCCAGTCGTCATCCTACCCCTCTCCTCGACAGCCTACCCCTCCAGTCGTCATCCTACCCCTCCCCTCGACAGCCTACCCCCCAGTCGTCATCCTACCCCTCTCCTCGACAGCCTACTCCTCCAGTCGTCATCCTACCCCTCCCCTCGACAGCCTACCCCTCCAGTCGTCATCCTACCCCTCCCCTCGACAACCTACCCCTCCAGTCTTCATCCTACCCCTCCCCTCGACAGCCTACCCTTCCAGTCGTCATCCTACCCCTCCCCTCGACAGCCTAACTCTCCAGTCGTCATCCTACCCCTCCCCTCGACAACCTACCCCTCCAGTCGTCATCCTACCCCTGCCTTCGACAACCTACCCCTCCAGTCGTCATCCTACCCCTCCCCTCGACAGCCCCCCCAGTCGTCATCCTACCCCTCCCCTCGACAACCTACCCCTCCAGTCGTCATCCTACCCCTCCCCTCGACAGCCTACCCCTCCAGTCGACGTCATCATACACCTCCCCTCGACAGCCTACCCCCCCCCCCCCCCCCAGTCGTCATCCTACCCCTCCCCTCGACAGCCTACTCCTCCAGTCGTCATCCTACCCCTCCCCTCGACTGCCTAACCCCCCAGTCGTCATCCTACCCCTCCCCTCGACAGCCTACCCCTCCAGTCGTCGCCAATCTTACTCCTCTCTTCGACAGCCTACCCCTCCAGTCGTCATCCTACCCCTCCCCTCGACAGCCTACCCCTCCAGTCGTCATCCTACCCCTCCCCTCGACAGCCTACCAAACCCCTAGCCGTCCTATCCCTCCAGTCGCCATCCTGCTCCACCCCTCACCAGCCTGCCCCACCCGTCGCGATCCTACCCCACCTGTTGCCATTCTGCCTCACTCCCTGGCCATACTCAATCTCGCCAACAAGCCCCCTTCACATCGCCATGATGCCACCAAAATATCTTGCTTCACAAATAGTTCGTGAAAACTGTCACTTTTATCCTAAAGTAGACAGACAAATCTAAACATATATTCATATTTCCATATATAGCTACATGTAATAGTGTGAACGTTTGCTAGGGGTTACAAATTCTCTGTTGGATCATGATCAACAATGAGTCATTTTAATACGCCATAGTCGTGGCAATGACATTGTATTTATTAGCCATACACCCCCAGAGCAGGCTAATTCCCGTGGACGAATATGCGCAACAAACAAGGATAACCATGCGATGTTGGGTGTGTCATCCCAACAGGCACACCTTGCGCTTGTATCATGTGCCTAGCCCTGGGAGAGTATATAACAGCCATGGACAATGGTCAGTTTACAGTTGACCACAGTCCTCACTGAACAGCGGGTCAAGCTCAACTAAACAGCATGATAGCTCTCTCCGGTATCATCGTGGGTCTTGCGATTGTCCATTGTAAGTATTTAATGGGACTTGAACCATGAATCTACCTGTATCTTGGTTCATATAATCAATGTGGTATTTATGAAGTGTATTCAATCATGTTGCCTGCTCATATGAAATGCATTTGGTATCTGTGTAGTAATTAAACAGAGAAATGCGAAATACCCTTTGACAAATATATGTTAAAGCTTCAATAATTGTTACAGTTTTGGAACTTGTGTTGAAAAACGAAGCTTGATGGTTATAATCTGCCGACATATATACTCTTTGTCTTGGACGTAGTTGTGGCTGTTGTTTCTGTTAATAACTATGAGAACCAAGTAACATGCTGCAACGTCTAGACTAGTTGTTCTACGGGTGGCCCAGTTGTCTAAGGCGTCGCAGTTCGCTGTGCAGAGTTGCGTCCCTTTGGCACGCCAGAAACCTATGATCGTTCGAATCCCAGTTCGCCCCGATTATGTTTCTGGGTTTGTCAGCGCCAAAGAGCTAAACATCTGAGACCTGCATCACTTCGGGCTTTCCACCCACATTAAGCTGACACGCCGTGATATAACTGGAATACTGTTAAAAGCGGCGTTAAACCCACTCACTCCAGGACTGGTCTTTCGTTCTGCCTGTTTAACATGAATAAAGCTGTCTTGGGCTCGTACCATCAAGCGATCTTGGCTAGGTAGTCCTATGAACCAGTTCCCTGCGTATGACCAGGATGCCCGGTTTTCTAGTTGCCCTGTTACCAGTTTGCTCTTGAAACAAGTTGCCCTGTGACCAGTTTGCCTTTGTAACCAGTTGCCCTGTTACCAGGTCGCTCTTGTAACAAGTTGCCCTGTGACCAGTTTGCTCTTGTAACAAGTTGTCCTGTTACCAGGTTGCCCTTGTAACCAGTTGCCCTGTTACCAGGTTGCCCTTGTAACCAGTTGCCCTGTTACCAGGTCGCTCTTGTAACAAGTTGCCCTGTAACCAGGTTGCCCTTGTAACAAGTTGTCCTGTTACCAGGTTGCCCTTGTAACAAGTTGCCCTGTTACCAGGTTGCCCTTGTAACAAGTTGCCCTGTTACCAGGTCGCTCTTGTAACAAGTTGCCCTGTTACCAGGTTGCCCTGGTAACCAGTTGCCCTGTTACCAGGTTGCCCCTGTAAAAAGTTGCCCTGTTACCAGGTTGCCCTTGTAACAAGTTGCCCTGTTACCAGGTCGCTCTTGTAACAAGTTGCCCTGTTACCAGGTTGCCCTTGTAACATGTGACCAGTTTGCCCTTGTAACTAGTTGCCCTGTTACCAGATCGCTCTTGTAACAAGTTGCCCTGTTACCAGATCGCTCTTGTAACAAGTTGCCTTGTTACCAGGTTGCCCTTGTAACCAGTTGCCCTGTTACCAGGTTGCCCTTGTAACCAGTTGCCCGATTTCCCCGTTGCCCTGTTATCAAGATGCCCCGTTGGTCATAAACCAATTGTATGAAATCCTTACGACTGAAATAACATTGTTCTCGTAACTGATAGATATGAATCTGTCATAATTAAAAGTACCTGGCTTTTTACAGCGAGTATGGCCGCCATATCGTTTACTATCGCCCCCTACAACACAACGGCGGGGATAGGGCAGACAGCCACCCTCGCATGCATTGTGGCTGGGAAAACCTCCGAGTCCGTAAAATGGAAAAAGGTATGTACAGCATGTTGTCCCTCTTCAATACATCGTCAATACTTCACGGGTTTGTATACACAATGTTCCGCCATCACCCATGACTACATACGGCCACGTTTATAAAGGTCCGGGATAGAATTGGTCTTCAGCAACCCATGCTTGTCGAAAGAGGCGACTAACGGGATCAGATGGTCAGGCTACGCGGTGTGGAAGTGACTCGTCAAGTCAAGTTATGAAATGAACCGTATATAACTCACGGAAGTCAGAGGAGCCCTACTCTTTGCATGACATTAAAGTTACGTGTAAAAAGTAGATGGCTGCAAAAGTATGGATGTTGTTGCACGCAAAGTATTGCCGATATGATCTGAATGCTCACTGGCCTAACCTTCCCGTGAAGATCCGGGGTAGAATAGGTCTTCAGCAACCCATCCTTGCCGTAAAAAGCTACTTTGCTTGTTGTACGAGGCGTCTAACGGGATCGGTCGGTCAGGCTCCTGACCTGGTTGATGCATGTCATCGTATCCAAATTACGTGGATCGATGCTCACGATGTCAATCACTGGATTGTCTGCAATGTTGCTGAGTGTGTCCCTACAGAAAGGGTGTCAGAGGAGAACTTCTTGTACTTTCGAGGACCTAATGTTATGTGCAGCCATGTGTAGGCATAATTGCACATTTTAAATAACATAATTTATAATGTAAATCGCAAGCATTCTTTAATAAAGAAAGGTGTGATTATATAAATTGTACATGTTCAATGTGTGGATCGTGGGGGAACAGCGGAATAGTTACACGACACAAACACACACACACACACACACACACACACACACACACACACGCACACACATATATATATGTCAGGAATATTCTTACTTTGTGTATACTATTTTCAAAGTTGTATATTTATATACAGGCTGGATTTGAACGTTGATCGAGAATCATACAATATTACTTTTTTCGTAGAGTGACAACACCCCGCTAACTGTAGACACTACCGTGGTGGGGTCCAGTCGATACCAAGTTGTGGGGGCGTATAACCTCACCATCTCGGGAGTCACCACAGCGGATGAGGGGGGCTACGTCTGTGACGCAGGGACGTTGACGAAGACGGCATACCTCAGCGTTGTCGGTGAGTTGTATCAGCTGAATGCATGTTTCTATACGAAAACATTGTAGTAGTAGTAGTAGTAGTAGCCGGTTTAGTTGTCCTTGGTCTAGTGGGTAGAGCGTCTGCCCGGAAAGCGGAAGTCGGTGGTTCGATACCAGCCGCGTCATACCAGAAGGCGATAAAACAATGGTACATGTATTTTCCCTGCCTGACGCTCGGCATTTAAGTGAGTGAGTTGGGTTTAACGCCGCTTTTAACATTATTCCAGTTATATCACGGCGTGTCAGCTTTATGTGGGAGGAAAGCCCGAAGTGATGCAGGTCTCAGACGTTTACCACTTCGGTGAAACCCACGAGCACGGGTATGGTGCTGACAAACCTAGAAACATAATCGGGGCGAACCGGGATTCGAACCCACAATCATAGGTTTCTGGCGTGCCCAAGGGACGCAACTCTCCACAGTGAATCGCGGCGCCTTAGACGACTGGGCCACCCGTGCCCCCCTCGGCATTTAAGGGATAAAACAAGGACCGGTCGGTTATGGGGAAATATACTCTGTCTGAGTTGTGGCTGCCATGTTGAACTGCAGCGTGTTCCAGAAGATTAGCACTATAAAACCGGCATTAGTTCGGAGGAGTACACATTTCTGGTGTCCCCCGCCGTGATATTGCTGGAATATTGCTAAAAGCGGCGTAAAACTATACTCAGTCAGTCGGAGTAGTACAAGCAGTCACACACATACGTGCATGCACGTCGCTATATAAGTGAAATAATCTTGATCGCCACGTTGAACCCCGCACCTCACCTATTTGACACAACTAATGAAGCATATGTATCGATGTAACTATCTTGTAAGGAACGCATACATCAATTTTTCAAATAGACGAATCACCGAGTTTGTCACATCATATAACCACAGCCAATAAAGTTATTTACCCGTGAAGATCCAAGTAAGAATTGGTCCTCAGCAACCCATGCTTGTCGTACACTAGAGGCGAAAATTGGGATCGGGTAGTCAGACTCGCTGACTTGGTACATGCTTGTCATCGTATCCCTATTGCGTGGAACGATGCTGATGATGTCAATCACTGGACTTCCTGGTCCAGACTCCATTATTTACAGACCGCCGTCGTGTAGCTGGAATATTGCTGAGTGCGGCGTAAACAACAAAAAACAATATTAAATTATTAGTTTCCAGGCACTGCACCGTGATCTGCCTCTGTGACAATTGGAATGGCATAATCAGAACAATACTCATAGACTTCCTCTTTCTTACAGATCTACCAACTAATGTGAGCTTGTACTGGAGCAGCCCTCCCATCCCTGGGCTGCTGGCTAACCTGACATGTAAGGCGGCGCACGCCAACCCTGCGCCTAACTTCGCCTGGTATAAGGACGACCTCCTGTACGGCGCCACGCCCGTGTACTACACATCGGGAACATCAGGTAATGGAATTACCCTTGGATGAAGTCATCAGGCGCATTCCAAAGGCTGATTATCTTACAAAGAGGCTTAGATTCTTTTATTGCCAGTTTTTGTTTCGAAATGGTAGTTATAACACCGGTGTGCCATTGTGACGTATTTAGATCAGGTGTTACTTTAGGTCCTCCAGTTTTTGGGTATCGGTCGATGGCTTTCTTTAACTACCATGAATCACGACCATCTTTTTCGGACTGTACAAGACCATCTGAAAAGTCCCATACACCCGCTTTGTACATATTTAAGTCATAACAGTTTACGTTATACGTTTATCTAGCTATAGGTTAAGTGAGTGAGTGAGTTAAAATTTAACGTCGCATCGGTATTATGTAAGCTATATAGCGACATCTAGCTATGGTTAGTACTGACATCATGCAGGGGTAGTTTTATATTACATGTATTTCCGATGTCTTCATAATCTACAAGTACGTGCAACTTTAGTGCCGTTTGAATGTTACAAAAAATGCTCAAAAGAAGTTAAAGAACACCCGATTTGTTTCAAAAGACAACAGTTACTTTTTCATGGCTGGTGGATATTGCAAAATACAACCTTCAAAATTGTGGGTGTTGCTTAACTTGTTTTGAATGTACCTGTAGCTCTTGGTAGTCTTGCACTCTCTCTTAACCGGCAGTTCAATGTAAAGTGCAAGACCTTCTTATGATAGAGTGACCCTCGTCCACGAACGTTGTTAGCTCGATATATCGTTTGAAACGATGTATCTGTATGGCCCTATACAAACATTATCGGTGATAATGTAAAATATGACCTCTCGGGTCTTGAACTTCGGCTTACTCGATATCGGTGTCCCTAGAACTCCTTTTTTATCGTAGGTTTATTGCATTTAGGGGTGGTGAGGTAACTACACTACCGGGCAAAAGAAAATATACACTTGAAAATTGGATTTGACCAAAACATTACAAACGTTGTCAAAACGTTACTTCACTGAAACAATGAAACGTCGCCGAAACAGTGCAAACTTTAAGTCCAAAAACTATGAAACCCAAAAGCCATCACCATCAAATAACAATTTATTGTTGGTTTCACGTTTTGACACCATCAAACATGGGTGCATACTTTCTTTTGCCCGGCAGTTTTGTAGGTAGAGAATTCGCTCGTTTCAACGTACCCTAACGGCGTGGGGCGTTAAACAACAAGCGCGTACACAAACACGGACACACGCACGCATGCGCACACACAGCATCCAATTACAATGTATGTATGGGCAGAACGAAGGGGCAGAGAAGCATAATGGAATATTTATGATTAGTCGTAAGTAGGATATTACAAAGTATGGAATCTGTGATAATAAACAATCGAACTTCGTTAAACATATATTACAGTAAACTACGGTTATAACGAACCCAAGGGGACCACAAATTGTAGTTCGTCATGACCGTATTTCGTTTTAAGCAAATGGACGGGACTAAGAAATAGTTCGTTACATCTGTCAGTTCGTTGTAAGCGTGTTCGTTATAAACGTAGTTTACTGCACACTGATTTACAGTCACTGAGAGCTCCGCATTGGCATACACACTAATTTGATCTAGCGGAACTTTGTTCACAACTATATTATATTATTGTTAACAATTCATTGTGTTGTCGAGCATACAGTTCACGTATGATTTTTCACTTGGATCCCCACAGAAGAACGTTGAATCTCTGATAATGCCTATTCTGTATAAATCAATTTAATTGTTTGTTCATATATCTTAGCTTGGTATGAATTATATTTATTTTTCTATTGCCATATACTAGTATTAAGGCGCAGTAGAATTATATTTTTAAAGAGTTTCCCTCAAATTGTGTATGTAGTTCATGCAGTGGAATATTAGAAAGGTGTAAAGATTCTGACATGTAGTGGAATATTATTTCACACTCTCACTGCCGTTGTTACAGGGTACGTGGATGCCTACAGCGTGTTGCCAGTGCGCTTGACCAACGATGACCAGTCGTCCAGATTCCGATGTCAGCTGGAGTACACTGGACTGTCCAGAGCCATGGAGGCCGATCTCGTCGTGGTGCTTAGCAGTGAGTCCATGTACACGCGGTTCTGTCACGCGGTTCTGTGTGTTTATACTGAAGATACGCACAACTGGTTCACACGCTGCGCATGCTGCGAAAATCTTAAATATTTCGAACCCAATTAAAATATACACATGCTTTTAATTTTTGTCAGCCCCACGATATATGCGTCTTAAGGGGGCGACAATAATTATGAGCATGATTATAATTTATGATAGGCTGAACTATTTCCTCGAAATCATTCAAAAATGCTGGCATTTTATTTTTCATTTTTTTAATTTATTTTAATCCTACCTTTCAAAGCACCTGTGTACATGTAGCTTTCGACTGATGTGATTTCCATGAAGCATGAATGTGTGGTAGGACCATATGTATGTAATGTAAAGAAAGTTAAACTCACATTGTTAATTTTCTTATCTAGGTAGGTACTTGAGGACAGTTACAAAATATTAGGAGGGCTGTGGTCACGGAAGCGCGGGTGGTAATAATAATAATGTCTCTTTTACAGGCGGAGGACCCGTTCAAACCAGGAACATTCTTGTCATCGTGTTTGGAGCGTTTCTTTCAGTTCTCCTATGGTAGTAACTGGGTGCTACGCGCATGAGCGGTGAAACCAACAAGCAGACGACATCCGTGAGGTTTCCATGGCAACACGAGATCGGAATGAAATGTCGTTCGGTATAGATATGGAGAGGTGTGATAACTGAGTCGAAATAGGTTTATTTAAAGTTTTCAAAAAGTCATTTATCTGAAGGCTAGAGCAATTGTCACAGGCATCTTCACAAAGTATTCTCCTGCTGTGACGTCTATAATAGCAGAGACCATATAATAGATTATATGGTCTCTGATAATAGGCAGTACACTTGTACAAGCTCGTTTGACGTATGTCTCAAAACGACTACATGTTTGACCGCTACCTAGTGTTTATCAGATGGGGTCCACAGTCAAGACTTGACCCCATACAAATGTTGGAGGGTCATCAACTATTGGACTCCATCGGCTTTGATTGCCCCCGTCAAGCAGAGACATTGTTTCATTTTAACACAGGCCACTAAATACAACGTCTCGACTTGACACACATCCTCGATTATCAAGTGTATCATACATCGTCATCCTATTACAACATGAATGCATTTGCGACCATACCTTCGTTTCGGAAGTGACGTAAAAAACCCATCCTCTTATCACTATTAACTTAGAACTGAGCTTGAAATCAACAACCAATCAAAATGCCTATTTTTAAATCTCTTTTAAAGTTCGGCATAGATACAAATTCAAAATTACGACCTACCCTAAACCAGCCCGCCATATTTAATCGAATCAGAACATAGTTAGAATGGACTAGAGTGAAAGTCGAGCCGAGCTGTGATGAAGCTGAGTTTCATTTCAACCAGTTTCAAAACGAAGTTATGGTGGCGAATGAGTCCAGGGTAATCATCATATCAGAATGGGTATAATACACTGGGTAATCGAGTATGCCTTGAACATGGCCACGAGACACTCCCTTTATGACGCCAACTTTTATGACAATTTCGCCGGCGCGTGTTGCTTCCTATGACCGGATGCGCCTGATCCGAGGCAGAAGTCTGTGGTATGATTATAGCTGCGATTTCACATCTTATTGTTTCAGGATAGATATTAATATCTCAGTTACATCAACCCAATAATCCTTACAAGAATCAGGCCACCGTTTTGTAAAATGATTCATTCAGATAAGACATCACCTTAACGTGCCTTGGGAAGTACATGAATAAACATAATGGTCTACATTGAACTCCTATTGTTTGTGTCTTTTATGTAAGTTGTTGCGCAGAGTTGGACACTAGAAATCTGGCTGGTTCGAATCCCGGTTCACCTCGATAATGATTCCAGGTTTTTCAGAACCATACCCGTGCTCGTTGGTTTCACTAAATTGGTTAACGTCTAAGATCTGCATCACTTCTAGCTTTCCTCCCACATCTAACTTCCTCACTCACTCATGGCTTAGGTCAGTTGTAGGGTGTCTTGCCAAATGGTCCTATGTGGGCTTTCCTTCTACGTCAAGCTGGCAAGCTGTGTTAATTGGAATACTGGTTCAAAGAGGCGTTAAACCCCACTCACCCACTCATACACTCTTCTTTAAACATATGCAACATTTCATCAGGAAAAAAATGCTTTCCTCAGAATGTCTTAATTAGGACTTTGTTCACGTCGAAAAATGTTACCCATGAAACAGCTGTATGTAAGGTTTCCATGGTGACACTGTCATGCTGTCAGTATGTCATGAGACCGCCTCCGTGGTCTAGTGGTAGAGCGTCCGCCCGGAGAGCGGAAGGTCCGGGGTTTGATCCCCGACCGCGTCATACCAAAAGACGTTAAAAGATGGTACTTGGAAACTAAACTGGACTTTAATAGTCTCTTGCCTCGGGAGTGAGTGAGTGAGTGAGTGAGTGAGTGAGTTGGGTTTAACGCCGCTTTTAACAGTATTCCAGTTATATCACGGCGTGTCAGCTTAATGTGGGAGGAAAGCCCGAAGTGATGCAGGTCTAAGACGTTTACCACTTCGGTGAAACCCACGAGCACGGGTATGGTGCTGACAAACCTATAAACATAATTGGGGGAACCGGGATTCGAACCCACAATCATAGGTTTCTGGTGTGCCCAAGGGACGCAACTCTGCACAGCGAATCGCGGCGCCTTAGACGACTGGGCCACCCGTGCCTCCTCTTGCCTCGGGAAGATGAGGTTCGGGCCATAGAAAGTGAAACCCACGAGTATGGGTATGGTGCGCATGTCAAAGAGTAGGGATGGGTATTGGAGCATTCGTCACCACTCGCCCCTTTCCGTAACCTGCAAGAGGAAGAACACGAGCTGGTCACGAATGGGTATTGGAGGTTTAAAGTGCATCACAATATTTCACGATATATTGTATCATTCTAAATTTTGAATTCCGAAAAATCTGAAACATCAAGATATGGATGGAAGTTCACAAATAGAACAAAAAAAAGGATGCTGGTACAACAAAATGTTTACTCATTTCATAAATACACAGCCATCTTGAGGCCCTGGATGCACGCTCGGGGACAGCGAGGGTATTTGGCAAGTGTCTTACATGAAACACATAATAAAAGTCGCTATTTCAAATCATCCGATATACTAAGCATGAACAATATATATTGTGATACGTATCGAGGAAAGAAGGAACCTCAATTTACCGATATGCCGGTAATACCGCACACCCTTAGCAAAGGGTATCTGTTCCCGTAGTGAAATTGTACCTTTGCTACAAATTTATCTTGGGGAATTATTCCCTTGTAACAGTTTGTACAAGGAGTTTTCCACCATACATTTACACAGGCAATATTTGATCCGGGTGGAAATTATTCGTTGACACTGATACGCCAAAGTTTTTTGTGAACAGATCTACTCAGGGAAACTTGAACCCAAGTTCTGCGAATCCTGGTTCTACTAAGGTACGCAACTCGCTTGATGAAAAAAATGTGCCCCCCCTTCATAGTTAAATTTGATATATACTAGTATGTGAGTGAGTGGTTTTGCGCAATAAGGTGTGTGTGTGTGTGTGGGGGGGGGGGGGGGGGGGGGGGCAATAAGGGAGAGAGGTGACAATAAGGGAGGGAGGGGACAGTGAGGGAGGGAGGGGACAGTGAGGGAGGGAGGGAGGGGACAATGAGGGGGGGGGGGGGGGGGGGGGACTGGGGGTTGTAGATAAGGCGGACCTGCAATATACAAAGCCACAGTGGAAGTTTGAGATTTCACTGTAACTGACCCAGATAATATAGGTGATGTAGAAGGTGAGTGAAAGGATGCAGGAGGGTTGTTGTACATCACTGACTTAAGTTTTGATATTTGAAGATAAAGGCTGAAAGATATGGCTGTGAGAATGTTACTTGTCAAGTCACTGTATCATAATGTCATGTTCAGGAGGGAAACCAAGGTTATTTATCTGATCCCTTAATTTATCTCGGACAAAATTTACCTTTTAAAACTAAAAATGCATCTAAATGAAGCCATTGTACCAATGACAGGAATCTCGCCGGTGAGGTCATTAACGCTGTTAAACGTTACATCGGACGTCATTCACAGTATTGATCACACCAGGCATGAATCATAAGTCGTTGCATGTGTTGTTTGAGCACATCAGTCTAGACTGACCCACCACCTAGATAATCACTATTGTGTTTATGGCACCTCTGTTAACAGCACCTATCTACATCAGAGGTCGGTTCTTATTAGAGACCCAGTCCAAAAACATTTGTGAATGTGGACAACTGCCTTGAATTTAACCCAAACTATATTCATGCCCATTCAAAATGACATTGTTTTGCGTAATAGAAAAAAAGTGAAAAATCATTATTTATTCGATTGGACGACCAACAATGACACAATGTGTTTCCAGTGTAAAAGTCAAATGCGGATACCTCCCGCTCTAGAAACTTCTCATGATAGGGACACATAGCACAATTAGACGTCAAACATTTACTCTCTGAAATGAATTCTTTGTAACGATCCCGTTAGTCGCCTCTTACGACAAGCGTAGTCGCCTTTTACGGCAAGAATGGGTTGCTGAAGACCTATTCTACCCCGGATCTTCACGGGCTGCCTCACCTGATATGATTTCATTCGAGAACGTGGGACATTATTTCGGCAAGTTTTTAACCCATTTAATTAATATTTTGAACTAAATCTAACTTACAACATGCATCGAGGGGCTTCCGGGCCATATTCGTTGAAGAATGTAGCTACAAAACACTATAAAAAGTTCTCTACATTTATCTTCTTTTTTTATGACATTTGGTGACATTCAGCGTGGAAACGACCTGATTATTTCATACCAGCTTTTGCTGCAAGTGAGTGAGTGAGTTGGGTTTAACGCCGCTTTTAACAGTATTCCCGTTATATCACGGCGTGTCAGCTTAATGTGTGAGGAAAGCCTGGATGCAGGTCTCAGACGTTTACCACATCGGTGAAACTCACGAGCACGGGTATGGTGCTGACAAACCTAGAAACATAATCGGGGCGAACCGGAATTCGAACCCACAATCATAGGTTTCTGGCGTGCCCAAGGGACGCAACTCTGCACAGCGAATCGCGGCGCCATAGACGACTGGGCCACCCGTGCCCCAGCTTTTGTTGTGTCAATTTTAGTTTTATAAGGTTATTTCAGGATATGTATCAATGTAAAGCCTTTGTGTGATGTATATATTCCGACATGTGTAACAAACCAAAACCTGCTGCGTTAACACAGTTACTGTGCATGTCAAGGTTGTTAGAATGATACTGTCTGGGTAGATAGTATGAGAATTTTAAGATTTAAACTTGGACATTAATGGAAAAAAATACTGTTCTTGTTGAAGAACTCCCTCATAGTATTTCAACTACCTTGTTTTGCCGTAAATAGCTGAAAACTTCCTCATGTGGCTAGAAATAACTCGCTTGTTGAAAAAAAGCGACAAAAACGATTCCATAATCATAAAAATAGCTTATAAAACATTGTACGATTCCCACTGTACAATAATCATGTGTATATAAATTGCTATTAAAAAGGGGTGATGATACCATGTTTTCGCCAAAAGGTGAGCGTATCCTGCCTCACCGGTGGCACCCGTCACAAACACATGCAACAGCAAATCATTTGTTGACCTGAAAATAACCGCAGGAACATATGGTACAAATCCACTCCAAATAAGGCTAAAAACTTGACTTAATCATGCTCCATGTGCGCGAGTGACATCACATATTTCACAGCGAGAAAATGGTAGTTCCTACCTACCAACTTCCGGTTTGGAATGGACAGCGCTCACCCTATGTGATTATAACCTATGTCGGGAATAGAACCCGTGTCAAAGCGTGACGCGAACGCTTTAACTACAAGCTACCGCACAGCCGCCAGTTACTTGCATACATAAAAATAATACATTGATTTATAGGATTGACCTGAAGCCCTATACTGTCGTGTTTGTTTGCTAAATTGCTTTTAAATACATGCACTAAACGTTATTGTATTGAAATCTTATGGACTATACGGCTTTGTCGAGTGGTCATTTTTGAAACTTAAAAAAACTTAAAAATACAGATGAAAGTTAGACCAAAGTAGATAATGCCGTTTTAAACAGTATAAGGAGTTAAAGGAATGGCACACTTCAAAAATTCATTTCTTCCAAACATCATATACTGTAAATCTCTGACGTGGAATAAAACCAGATATTTCACCAAGCGTAAAGGACAAAGGAAATGCCAATTTGAATTCAAGTACATTTTGAATGTTTAAACAAAAAGAGATGAATAATGACTTTAAGACAAGTATGAATATATTCACATATTTTGCCTATGTGTATTGTTACGAGTGGTTCCACTATACAGTCTCCATACATAACAAGGCGAGATCACACAACAATTTAAAAACAATTTAATACTGGCAGTCTTATCAAGCTTCATATTATACACAAACAGCAATAGTAACAATCATCACAATAAAAACAGTAAGTTGCAAGTAAGTAAGTACTTTAGTTGCTTAATATTCATTTTTCATCTCCCTTTATCAAGCATTCCAAATAATTAATAAAAACAGTCTCGCTTTATGCTGTAATATTCCTATATTTCCCAACAAGATCCATTGAATGCTTCACATAATCCATTATTACCCATAGTTCAAATCTAGCCGACATGGCACGTCAGTTTACACCTAATCCCGACCTGGGAACTGACCACTTTGTCTTCATCTTGCTTGAAGAGAAATAGCCAAGCTACAATTGCGTAACATCAGCCT